GTTGGCAAATATTTACCTTCCACGACTCCCTCCTCCCATCACCATCACTCATGGCAAAAACTATTGCAACTCCACGATACAATAATCGCCTATTAATGAGTCAGTGGCAACATAGGTATAGGGGTCTTCTTGAAAATGAGGCATCATCAGAAGCAAACAAGCCTACGCTACTTCTGGGCAGCATCTTCTGCTGCTCCATCTCCTCCAAATGCTATACGATGAGCTTACTAGGAGGCTAGCTCCTGTAGCTTTAGAACCAAGTCAAGTTTGGTTAGCAAAGCAGATGAATTCCCATCACGCGCATCAGCCCCAACCGTCCATTTACGCATTAGGACTCAAAATAGGAGGGAAATAGTGCCCGCAAACTGACGCATATCTATCCCCTGGAATGCAAGCATACAAACAATCACAATCATTGCGCCAGACTCAACCAAACACCAAAGTTGCCACAAAGTTTATTACCCAATACTAGTAACAAGCGTAGGTTGTTTCGACAACCACTTTCACAAGTGAATGTGCACTCATTTGAGAACTACAAGGATATTCAGTAGATTCAATTTGTGCCCTTTTACACTACCGCAAGTCAGTGCGTAGGTTGAACCGTGGCCAACTCAGGTTATGCGAACACGTAGGTTCCAATCAAACACACAAAATATTTCAGAAACTACAACCACCAAAAGCCGTTTTTTGATGCTGCATTAATTTGGAAACCGGAGAAAGTGGCTTAGTGGGGGAAATGTACTGGCAGTCCACAGCTTTGAAGTATAAACTTAGTAATGCTAGCAGTCATTTTAGTATATGTTTATCCAACCTACACTGCCAAGCAGATTGTTAGCTCGTGGCAAATTAGGTTATCACATTCTTAAACATTACCTGTTCATTCATCTGAAATGAGGAAGGTGGTAGATGAAACACGCAAACAGTCCTAAATACATGATAGCAAGCAAGCTTACATCATCAACGTCTTGAACAAATCCTTGCAACCTAGACTGTTGAGCCAGCTTGGCTTCACGTTCAATAGCCTTCTCTTTGACGGCTTGACGCCTAAAATGTGAAAGTGATGTAGTAATGGAGTCAAACGGGATGTTAGGTAAAGAAAAGTACGCACTTCTGTTCCAGTTGATCGCACTTGGCCACAATCTTCTCGACAGGGAACACGCCACGATTAGCTAGGTCGCGACCAACGGCAATGACTTGAGAAATCTTTTCATCGTTGGCGGGCATTGCGGCCTGGAAAGTGTTGAGGTTACGTAAGGCCTCTTCTACAGACTCCGGAGTAGGCTACAAGAGACCACCGTAACAAAATAAGCGTAACTGAATAAGCCAATTGCAAGAAGCAGTGCCTAATCATATCAGAGGACATGCAAAATATGATAAATAAAGGATTGGCATTTAATCATTATATAGGTATATCAATAGGAAAATGAGGTGGAAACTCACCGCAACATCCTTGGTAATGAGAGCCTCCTGCTTATTGATGAGTTTATCCATAAGAGTGGCGTCTCTGAAGAATGACTGCAGAGTAAACACAAATAAAGTCGCTATAGTCCAGAAGACAGAAAAAAACGTACACTGAACGTAGCAGTTGTAATCGCTACAGACAGCACAGTAAAATGACAACAGCTTTTAGACCACATAAGACGCACCAAAGGTCTTAAGAAGCAGAACTATTACTTAACCTATGCAGTGGAGCCCCCCCCCCCCTCCCCAAAAAAAGCAACGAGACTAACCTGCGCTTCCACATCCCGTTTGAGAACTTTATCACGATCCTCGTACATCTTGTGCAGGGCAATCCAGTTATCTTCGATACCGTCCAAACGTTCGGAAAGGAAGAGATACTGAGGATCTGTTTGATTTTCTACAACTTTTCGTCCTATCGCCATAAGTCGCATGAAGTCGTCTTCATAACCATCAATTTCCGGTTTGAACTGCTCGTGATCTTGCAGAAGTTTTTCCGCCTCCTCAAAAGCAACCAATCATGAAATTTAAGCAGAAGCCAGTATCAAATGCTACTGAGCTACAGAAGTCAGCCTTTGGCAACAACAAGACAAATCGTAAAGATATGTGTTTGTAACAAACAAGAAATCAGTGATTGGTTTTTTAGAAAAATATTCACATTGTAAAAGAAAGCCCTAAAGGCAAGACTTTGTCGTACAGGATATTCCACTTTAAGAAATTTAACTGCAGATTGTAACTTACTGGAAGGGTGTTAGGCACATCCTCAGATGCAACAGTAACTTGGGCCTTACGAAGCCATACTTGGAAATGGTCAAGATCCTGCAAAAAGCGTTGGAGCTCACTGGAGTCATTCAGACGGTCATCACGTTCCTTCAACATTTCCTTCAGTTCGTTCCACAAGTCATGAATCTTCTTCCTTTCAGCTCGAATGACCTAAAGCTTAATATACAACTCATAGCATCTTACTTCCGACGCTTCTGGTTTGGCTGCATCCAACACATCGGCTTGCTCATCCAGATGATCTATTTTAGCTTGTATAGCCTGGAGGTCACGCTGAAGACCACTTAGACGACGCTGAAGCTGCATGATGCCTTCCAAATCATTACCTAATTCATCTGTGGACTCAATCAAGTGTTCTTTCTCCTTTATCCAGTTCGCTGTCTCCTGACACTCAATCAGGAACTGATTGTACTGATAGGCTGTCTCTAGCTGACCCTTCTGCTTCTCAACAAGATCGGCCAAATCATTCCACGTAGTGTTGAGCGTATCCTGACGAATGATGATTTGTTGTGCATCAGGATGGTCGGTTCCAATAAGGTTCTCAGAGAGTTTATTGACGGAACCAACTTTTTCCGCATTTTTCGTCATCTCCTTCTCAAAGCACTCAAATCTATGGCGGATAACACCAAGCTCTTCAATCTCATCCGAGGGGCAAAGAGTCGTAAGAAGTTTTCTCTTCTCCGTGATCCAAGTACGAACGGTATCGGAAACATCGAACAACTTGTACATAGACAGTGCATCCAGAAGGCGTTGTTGCCTTTGTTTGGCCATCTCAATAGCTATGGCGTAGTTTTCGTCCACAGCATTGAGGTGAGAGCTGGTAATGGCGGAGTCACAATCTGGATACTCAGAAACCTCTGCAGAGGTATCGTGTAGGTTTTTAATGGTTTCACGATACTTTTCGAGGTTATCCATAAGTTCTTGGTTTATCTTTATTAACGACTCTGTGGTGGACATTTTTAAACCGACATCCTCGTTACTAGCAATGCGTTGCTGATCAAGGAGCCAAGCATTAGCATCATCGCAGTCAGCTATTAATTGGAAGAACTTCTGAGACTCTAGCAGACGTTTTTTGCGGTCGACAGTCGAATCAGCTAACTGGTCCCAGAGCTTATGCATCTCATCGATCCGCTGTTGAATATCCTCTTTTCCACGGTTATCTTCTTCGATGAGTTGATTACCAACATTAATGGCATTATAGAAGACATTTTGGCGAATTCCACATTCTTCCTCGAGGGCCCGATGTTTACGAAGGAGACGCTCGACTGAGCTGAGATCATGCCCTAAATCGGGGCTGGACATAAGCTGACTCTTTTCCTTGATCCACTCCTTCTCGTCGTCCATGTCCCAGAAGAACTGCCACATCTTACGAGAGTCCTCCAGACCGTGACGCCTGGCATTAGCCAATCTGCACAGTTCGTCATAAGCCGCACGCAAATCTTCGCCTCGCTTTTGAACAACCTCCGGCTCAGCGGGACGATAGCCCTCCACGATTTCAGGAAAGTTACAGTCAATGAAAACTTTGGCCTGATCCAAAACTTGATTTAGGCGGTCATCAAGAACGTGAATGTCGGCCTCTAGGAGCTTGTGCTTCTGTAACAAATCATCAACGCCCATAAGGTGCTTTCCGTAATCTTCGGACTTGAGCCGACTTCCGATTTCGTCAATCCAATCTTGCAGATATGACATTTCTTGGAATACGCGTTGCAATCGTAGGCTTAGGTTCAAGCAGCTGCGACGCTTACGAAGCAATTGAAGAAGATTAGTCCATAGGTGGAGAACATTCTCACGTCGCATCTGGATGCGGTCGTTGTCATAATAGTTCTCCAGTTGCAGTTCCTCTGCCACACTAACCACAGCATTTACGCGTTCAGCGTAAGCTGAAATATCCGTTTCTATGGCTTCGTGTTTCTTAGTGGCCGCCTCAACAGTTGCAAGATCAGATCCGAAATTATATTGCGCAACAAGACGCTGGTTTTCTGAAAGCCAGGCCTCGCGCATACCCGCCTTCCGATCAAACCGGGTAGCAAGTTGGGCAAGTTTCTCCTGTCGGATCAATTCGTCACGCAATGCTAATTCACGAGCATGCTCTGCTTTTTCCAGATTCTCCCATGCACGGTTAATGTCGGCAATTCGTTTTCCTTCGGGTGGGGTATAAACTTTATGATTGTTAGCCCTCATTTTACTCTGCAGAGTAAAAAGAAGAACTTCAAGATCACCCTTCTCAACAAACTTGGGTGGTTTGTCAACAGTGCGGTAAGTGTTGAATCCCGCCAACTGGTGCTGCACATCAGTCAGTGAGTTGGCGAAAACGCGATCATTTAATAGTTCAATTGTTTTCTGAATCCAATTAAGAAGGTCAGAGGTCGACTGTTCGTACTTGTCAAGCAACTGAGATGATTCAAGTGCTTGGTTCACAACCTTCCCAATACGCTTGGAGTGTACAGTATCGGCCTTCATTTTGTTGAAGCAGTGGTAGAAAGCGGCCACGTACGTGATGATTGACTTTTCGTCAGGCTGTTCTACACACACATCGCTAGCCTCCAAGAGGGGGGGAACACCAAGCTTATCGTGAGCAACGGTGAAAGCATTCTGCAAATTCTGAATAGGATTGGCCTTGATTAATTTCTGATATTCAATGAGATCAGGACGATGCTTATGAATGAGCGCATTGAATGCAAGACCATCACGCCAGGAGGTTGAAAAGTTTCGCACGTTAACATTATTGTAGCCCGCTGTTTTCATTTGGCACCACAGCAAAAGAGCGTCCTTTGCGCACTTGGTCTCGCTTGTCTGATATTCTTCAACAATAATATCTTGAATCTGGAAACGTAGAATTATAGTCCAGATCAGACCGAGAGTTAAGCGCTGATTGCCATCAACAATGTCATGTGCGCCAACATTTTCCAAGTGAACATGCTGGTCACAGAGGAAGTTAAGGGATTTATCAACATTCTCCAAGCAGTGAATTCGCATTTTGCCGCGGGTAGGCTTGGGAAGCCGCTCTCCAGAAAGGATTTCAAGCAACTTAAGTAAGTGTTTGCCGTCGCGAAGATCGAGATAGAGATCCTCTATTCTCTGGTTTACAACTGCCAAGTGTGAATTGACCCACTTTGTAAAGGTTTTCTTTTGAACAATTTCACGCTCATCTAGAAATGACATGGTATGGGCATTCAAACTTACCCGCGAGTGCCTTGATGCGAGAACGCTCATATAGCTTTGCCGTACTATTGCCACTTTCAAAATCATCATCATCAGATATGTAGTTGTTAGGCTGATCTACGGAATTCGGTTCCCAGTGCAAATTTTGATGTATTGCCTGTATCTCCATCTCTACAAGTACGTGAATAATTCGAAGCAAAACGTGTGCAACTGGCGCAAACTGCTTGTTCATTTGGAAAGCTCGGAATAAAGTTGGTCCGGAAACATTACCAGATGGAAGAAAAACAAGCTAACAGAGGAGCACTAGTATTTTGAGGATGCCTGAAAAACAGCTAACTGCACGAAAAGCAACTTCCACAAGACTATATTGTGTATGACTTCATTTTGCACTAACAGTAGGTGACTTATTATTAGAAAACCGTGGATCAAAAAGCATTAACAAGCTATAAGGAAATTGAGATTACATGGGTGAATACACCTAAATGGAAAGGAGAGCAGGTGTGTACTTCGATATGTTACACTATAGCATAGCTCTCCAAGGAGAATCAAGAACCAATGATTTAAATTGGGCAAAAAAACCCCAATTATCACCAAAAATGATACCATAGAACAAGTAAGGCAAACAAACAGCAACGCACTTTACGGACGACTGAAACAAGGCAAGGGTAAGACAACCGCCATGCGAATTCTGGTGCACATAAACGCGCTTAGGGCACACAAACAAATCAAAATCAAGTACAGAATGTGTCTAAAATGGCTTAAAACCTATATCATCAAAATTTAAGTGCACAAAAAACTAATTGTAAAGACAAAGCCAGATGGTTACTCAATTTGGATGAAGACTGCAATTTCAACAGTTCAACATAAAAAAACTTTCTTTATAGTAGCTTCTAAGTAAGTAAAAATCACCTTTGAGTAGGGTTTCTTATCACAAACCAGGCGTTTTGTACCTATGTTGCACAGGTTCGCCGTTGGTCATTTTTAGTTATCGATGGTTTTTAACAAAACATGGACTTACAATTCCATTTAGCTGTCAATTCGTTATCATCACAGCTTCTTATTTAGGCTTTATTTATCGTTTCGCAATAGCGCCTGGTAATTTTATGGAACGTGACTCCATTTTTTCCCTTCCTTTTGTTTACCTAGACTTCGTAAAATTCTAGGCGGGTATTTGTTTAAAAATGTGGATGTTCTTTCATTCTGTCCGACATGCCGTATTTTACTAAAATTGCATATTTAATGGGTGGTATGCAATGCATTCGTACTGACTTATGTTTGTAATACGATAGTGGTTTATCCCTCGGTTTTGGTGAGGCGCAACTTCTGTACTTCGAATTAGCCCCCCTGTACCTCGCTGGGTGGGCTGGCCTTTTGGGCCATGCCAATAGCCCAGACACCTTCTCCGTGCTGAATACACATATTCTGCCTGAGTATTGTGTCTTCTTTCGTCTTAAGGGAGTCTCGGGACGCTACATGTTTACTCATTCTGGATTTCAGATGTATCCAAGTAAACCTCTCAAAATATTCTTGATGTGCAATGCCCTTTTTTTACAATACACTAAGATAAAATTCTGCCTCTCTTATAAAGCATTTTTGGTTCAGGCACCGGCAGACAGAGAATTGGAAAACTCATGGCCTAATTATTTTTTACTTGCATCCCACCGTATTTTACATGTTTAGGAACAAAATTTCGTTTAGTGAACGGGCGTACATTCGATCAGCAAACTATAATATTATCAGTATCTGACAAAGAAATTTTAACAATGTTCTACGGTGCCTCTTCGAACCCAACTTTATGCGGGATTTTTGTGGCTTTATCTATAATCAGAATGTCCGATCCTAGCCTCACGTTCTTTCATGCTCAGTCATGTATTCCGCATCACGTCTGTCGGCGTGGATTTTGAGAGTGAGCCGAAACGCACAAAACAAATTGCCTACTCACCTGTTACTTCTCGGGATTCACGGGCCTGTCTTCCTGAGTAGCCCGGTCCTCCTCAGGGTTGTCCACCAGTCGATCTTCACTGCCCACATTTCACTTGTTCATGACAGCAAATTCGTTTGAAAAATTCACTAATTCATCTCCCAAATAAATAAGATATTCCTAGTAGTGAGGCTTCGGGAAGATCTTGACGAAATTCACCGTTTGAATAAAATGGGGGCGTCTGTGTAAAGATGAAGATTGCATCGGGCATATTGAAGCTTTAATTATCGAACGCAACCAGATTCATTTCAAAATCACTATCGATAGTGGTAGTCGCTTTATAACCATAACTGCAGGATATTACAACACTCCGTGCATTCGAGTATGGGAATTTGTGAACGTTTCATTGCCATACGACTAACCTTCAGCACGACTCTTCCGCTGATCTGCGAAGTTTGCGAACTCCTCACAAAACTGCAGAAGGGTCCGTGTTTCGTTTTTGAAGTAACTAGTGGGTTTTTAAGACTTTTAGTGGCATGTTAGTGGAAAAAAACTTGTTTGTGGAAATTCAATTTTTCTGTGAAAATGCTAAAAAAGTGCATTAAATCAGTCAAGAAGTTCCTTCAGATTATTTTTGCGCAGCGTTTTAACCTCATTTTCAGGTAGAATTAAGGTGCTTTGGGACCATGATTTGGGTCATATTTAGTAGTTAAATTCTAGAACTAGGCATTTACTAACTTCTTTATTGGCGCGCATCGAACATTCTCAACTTCTTTCAGCTTGCGTCGGGTTCTGAAGCCACTCTTGCACACTGCAAAACGATGTCTTTTGTGATCCGGCAGTAACATCCGAAAAGTGTTCTGAACATCAAATTTGTGGTAGTCTGGTATAGCAGAGCTTCCGTTTAATTCAGGTGAGGCCATAAAGTCATCTCATAGCATATGATTACACATTTGTTTTGCCATTAGACAATAGAAGGCTAATTGTCGATATTACTTTCAAAGTGCCTCATTATGATTGTTGGAAGTCCATGTTTAGGTTAGTAGATATTTGTAAAGCCACCCAGACCAATTTGCACTGTCAAATCGTAGATAATGGGGTGCACAAAGCAAGCCAGCTCCTTATCTTCACATCGAGACTCCAACAGAAGTGGAAGCTGTGCCTCTGTCACGCATATACCTTTCGTGTGCAATCATTTGTGATCCCCTGATGTACAATTTCCCATCAGGTTAATGTTTCAGAGGTGTTGTAGTCATAATCTTTGAGAATTTATAATTTGATTGCCCTACGATCTGCACGGTGGAAGATTGGTGAACAATCTCTAACTCCACTTTAAGGTGAGAATAACATACTTCTGGTGTGAACCGCTGTTAAGGCTATACAAGAAGCCCTCAGACATGAAAATAATTGATTTAATGACGCTGACGACCCGAGCCAGGTAAAAACCGCCATCTGCCGGAAAACGAGTCATTTCTGTTGATATAATACTTGGAATGGGGGAAACCAGGGCGAATATCCCACCGCAGGTATTCACTGAAAGCTTGTAGTAGACCAGCAGAGGGTTTATGCACTCAAATTTTGTGAAAGAGATCATCACGTGAATCTGCTGAGGAACAAACCTTAATTTCTCGGTGAATGATAACAAAACCTCCACAGAGGCTCAAATTCCCTCTCTTTATCCATTCAAGAGGGGCACGCTAAGGCGCATCAGATTTATGTGAAATCCCACCGACAGGAAAAGTTACTGAGGAGGCACACTAAACAACCACGGACGACCTTCCAACGTCCACATATCAGCACGCAGACACATTTAAACGGCGCGATCAAATACACCCCTACTTTGCATCTGGAGAGAGGCCCCCCTCACGACGCCTTCCGTGTAAGCTCAAATCCGTTGGCAGTACAACCATGACAATGTACTCCGAATAACAAACCAGCTTAGAACAAAATCAAACACAAGGTAAAATCAACTGCTGAAGTACGATCACGCGCAGCGGATAAATTAAAAAAAATAGCACAGCCACTTCATTTTGGGCTGGTTCAAAGGTCAAAAAAAATTTACCTGATCATATAGCCGACTGATGTGAAATACAACTAATAAAAGCCAGTATGGGAAATTGGTCTCAAAAACCAATCGAAATACATTTCGGGTGTAGAAATGAGCACATGGGTATATATATATTTACACGGAAAATATGTGAATATGATCACTGTACAGGCGGTTCCTTAGCTGCCGATTCAGAATGCAATTTTTGCTGACGAGCTTGCCATTTACGGTACTTGTAGTATTTTCGCAAATAAAGCTTCACGAACTCGCCGATTTTTTTCGTGTTTATTGAAGTGCAACTGCTCCTCGAAATCTGAGAAATATTGAGTGATGTAATGAGGCACTTACCTTATTTACAGACTTTTTAAGAACGGTTCGACAATCCTCCTTCGACACCTTTCCAGCAGCATAAAACGGTTTAATAAAACTTTTAACCTCAAGAGCAATACGTTCCTGCCACTCCCGAGTACTGGAAAATTCTGACCTTCTGCGCCTAGCGAGCATTTCCTGAATGTTGTACTCAAGGTGATGCCTGTGTTTCCTTTCACCTGTCGGAACATCTCCATTCCCATTTGAAAATTCACCACTACCCACAATTCCAGCGATAGAAGGTAGGGGAGGCATGGAATCGGACTTTCCCGCAGGTCGACAAGGCATAGGTAGAGGTGGAGGCGGCGGTGGAGGGCTACCGTTTGTACTAACGGGTACGTTCAACTGATTTAGCAATGTATTCGCTGCTGAGTTTAACAATCTGTTGATTTTCTTCATTGGCGACTTATCCTCAACTTGTTCTGGGAGAGGGATGGCAGTCATTGAAACCGCACCACTACCACCACCTAATGGAGCACTGCTTAGTGCAGCAATGCCGTCAGTCGGCAACCCCACCTTGCTCATTAATGTTTCAAGCAGATTGGACTGAGACGGCGGTGGTGGTGGAGGTGGAGGAGACGAGAGCGCCGGTCGTGGCGGAACCTCAGTATGCGGCTGCTGCTGAAACGGTAAGCTTGAGTTGACGTTAATGTGCTGAATGAGTTGCGGAGGCGGGGCTGTGTAGGACAGGTTCGGTGGTAGTGACGGGGGTGGTGGTGGAGGAGGTGGCTGCCCTAAAATTCCGCCAAATGGCAATAGCGGATTAAGCATCCCGTTAACTGCCATGAATTGAGCCGGTGGCGCTCCAGGAAAACGATTTACGTATGCTGGATTGAATGTGGGGCGTTGTGACATGAGATTAGGCGGTAACTCCCTCACTGCCGACGAATTCAGCCTGTGGGACTGGTAGGTACCATCGTAGCCGCCTAGTCTCGACTGACGGTGAAAAGTGTCTTGACCTAAAGAACTTGGAAGCTGTTGCAAAGTACTTGGGTGATTTGTGTGACCGAATGTGGGTGGATTTTGTGACTTCTGCTTCCACTCAAAAAAGTTCGGCGCACTTGTCAACGGGGGAGGAGGGGGATGGCTTTGGAACACAAAAGCAGCATTCTCACTCATTTCCCGAGCTGCAGGGAGGTGGTCCTCAGAAATATCCGGAGTACTAGTTTCGTCCATGTCATACTGATCATCAATAGATTCATTTCTCATCGTTTTTTCTGGTAAAAGCGGCGCCGTATGGGCCGTGGAAGCTGTAAGGCTTAGAGGTGCCATAGTTGGACCGCATGTACTTTGATCTTTCCGAAAGCCATGGGATTCATTTTCATGAATTTTGCTTTGGCGACTACGACTTCGAGAACGTGTCTTGCGGTCTTGATGAGACTCGCGCTTGCGACGATCGTGCCTACTGCGTAAGGCTGAGCGGGAGCGTCTATGATGCCTGTCTCTTGATCTAGACCTGGAATGACGTCGGTTGCGTGAGCTGTGATAACGTGAATGAGAAGACGAACGCCTTCGAGAACTTTTACTACTATGCCTACGTCTCGGAGAACGGCTGCGATGACGCGAAGACTTGGAAACTGAGTATCGAGTGGGTCCCTTGTGAAGTGCCGGGGACTTGTCCTTATGTGAACGGTACTTTTCATTTTTCTGATCCTTATTATGTAATCTCGATTCTCTCTGGTCACTAGAATCTCTTGGATTACCCGTGGCGTTTTGAGCCCCATCAAACGGCTTATTAACATCCTTCAACAAAACAGGTTTGGCATTTATTTCTTTGTCATCCATTTCGTTACCAGTATCGTCTATCTTTGATGTGTTGATCTTCAGTAGGTCAATTTTCTCAATGGCAGAAGCATCCTGATCCACAGTTATAGCATCTGAGGGCATATTGGACGAGGTAGATAACGTTGGCGACAGATCAGGAGATTTCATAAAACAAGACTCTTTGAACAATGTTGTAGAACCCGTGCCGGACACAGTGCAACCAAAGCATTTTGAACTCTCCATCCCGATTTCTACATCCACACCGGCGCTTTCGAAACTATTTGAAAGGACTTCACAATCAGCATCCTGATCGGTTGGGTGAGACGGCGAATAAACGTCCATATTGAAAATACCGGCGGTACTAAAGAATACGCTTAGCAAAGTACACTAAAACACAGACGAACCAACCGCTGGAGACGCGTTCATAATGAGAACAAAACAACTATATTTGCATATTTAAACAAACAACTGACCCAGGTGCTAAACCAGAATTGCAAGTAAATTTTTGAATTTATGCCCACAAATTTGATCCTGCGACATTTCGAGGATTTCGTATATTTTAAAACTCTTCACATTGTTTTACAAGGCTAAAAGCCCAAATATTCGGTAAGTTTTAGTGCTTTTTGAGGAATATGGCTATTAGATTTAAATTATTAATTAAAATTGAAGGCAATTATCATGCTCACATCTTGTTCAGCATCGTCCCACAAATTCATCTCAGAAAAACAGAAATTCTCCCCGACGGCGTATCACAATCGCAAATCTACTTAGGTCAACTAAAATTCTGCTTCCCATTCACTTGGCATCTAATTCTAGTGTAAGTTCACTTCCTTTGCTAGCACCGACCACCCAAGGAGTGAACTGGCAGCCCCAGGCGACCTGACTCCACCACCCAGCTCAGCTTTTACTTACCGAGTGACCACAACCTAACCCCTGCATCGCGATCGGCTACAGCCTTGCAAAACAGACGTCTATGACTTCATTGATAAGTACACGCAAAGGGTGTGATTTTCAAGGGCCACAGTCCTAAACACTAAACCTCTTTGACAGGAGGAAAGAGTGAGTTGTAGGACATCGAGGCGGGCTGTTTGGGATGCCAAGACTTCAGAAGTTGGAGCAAGGGTCTCGGACCGAGGGTGCTCGTGGACTGTAGGTCTGACAGGATCTGACCTGATTGGCTGCACTGAGCCCGCGCAGTGAGGATAAGGCCAACGAAGAAGGGCGACGGAGCCATGGGTCGCGAGGTGTACTCGGGATGGAACTGGGTGCCTACGAAGTAGGGGTGCTGTCGTTCACTCGTTACCGTTTCACCCGTTTTCTTGCAGCTCACATTTTGCGTGGTGATGGGACGTATCAACTCCCCAATCTCCATGCGGTTGCCCTTACCGGCGTCACGCCCAACAAAGGCGAAGCCACTAGACTCGAAGTCCTTTACGAAACTCGGGTTGACTTCGTACCTAACAAATGTAAAGCCATTACGGTATAGCCTTGTAGCCCAAAAATCCAATCCTCGTGACCATTACAAGGCTGGGTGGGTAGTACGTAGGACATATCAGCATTCCCCGGTACTAACCTGTGTCGATGCCTGGCGTAAATGTGACCAGCGTTCACTAGGCGGAAGCTGTTGAAATGCGAAAGCAGATGGGAGAAGTTCTCCTTATCACTTTCAACAGCAACATCGCAGTTATCCACGATATCTCCATTCTCAGAGATAGACCCTGGGACTTGTGCTACTCTATCAGCTTTCAGGTCACACAGGGTGCCGAGGTAGTCTTTCACCACCGAAGAGACAACGAAGTTAGTTCGACGGGAGCCGAGGCGCATTGTACCACCCATTTCACCTGGATTGAATTCCGGCATGTCTATTACAACCGGGTACGGTGTGTTGGGATTGAATTCCGTTGAATTTGAATCCTAAAATGTGTTAGAAAAGTAAGCCGATAACTATGGAGGTACCGACGACCAACAATCGTGCTCCGATTTCGGCTTAATCTAAACTGTTGGTAAAGGGGTGCTAAAGAATTAAACTATTTGATTTGTATGCAACTCCGAAGTTTGTTTAATAAGATCTTTGTTTACTAATCGGTTTTATTAACAATAGCGGGCTGAAAAACCAAATGCTCAATCATGCTTAAGGAAGACAACTCCCCTTCCATCCGAGGACATTGCGGGCAAATTCTACTACAGCCAGCTGGAAGCCGAGACAGATACCAAGGAAGGGAATGCCGCGTTCACGACAATACCGAATGACGGCGATTTTGCCCTCACAACCGCGAGGGCCAAAGCCGCCGGCAACAATGACGGCCTGTGCGTTGCTGATCGACAACCAAGCCTCATGGTACTGCTCAGGCGCAGAGAGTTCCATCGCCGGCTCCAAATCCTCGGAGTCAACCAGGTCTACTTTCAGCTTGCAATTAGCATGGGTCGCTGCATGTTCACATGCCTAGAGAGGCAGTTGATAAGGTCCAGCTAAGATGGATATATGGCAAAGACGTGCGTCGCTCGTGCAATCCAAGGCAGGGAAAAATTAAACGGAAAAACGGTAGTAAAAAACGCTCATTCACTTAATTTTGGAAGAGTATAGCATTTTAACACGATGATGATTGATCGAAACAACCATTAATAATGATCGTTGCTGGAAGCCAACTAAACGGCAAATCTGATAAAGTAAGTTCTATGCTAACAAATCCCATTTGGAAATCAAGTAAACGGTTAATGAGGTACTTTAGCAATAAGACAACTCAAATTTAACACAAAAGTATGCCCTATATATTGTGACTAAAAAGACAAACAATTGGTGTGCCCTTTAGACGATATTTAACGGAGGCCCGGAGCTTTCGAAGGTAATGTACTCAAGCATCCTAACTAATCAAAAAGAGGTCACAGAGACTAGACACTAAATGCAGACAGCACAACAAACTGTTAATAGAACCAGATTCGGACAAATGGACCATCATCGATCTATCACGTGCACTGCCGAAAAAGGTTGCGGGCACACCATGCGAGCGGTTTCGTGTCACATTTCAGTTGGATGGATAAGCAAAAGAGCCATGTAGAAGTATATATGCCTCAGCATTAGTCCAAAGCTGATCTCACAAAACGCGGCGAGGCACCGAATCAAACTAGCCACATCGCGTGATCCAGATGTCATACCCTCAAATGACCCTCTGTTCTACTAACAAGTTAGAGTAACTGACACGAACATATGACGCAACTGCTACGATACCACACAACCTGACCCAAACCATATCAATCATGGGCCTAGCAGTTTCAAAGGGATAGAAACTATCACAGATGTTAGAGGGGTGGGAACGAAGCGGACCTTTAGAAGCGAGAGATAGGCATCACTGAGTTTGGTGTACTTGCCAGCTACGGCAACGCGAATGGTTTCAGTAGCGTGCAGCATGTGATCAACCATAGCCTGCCAGGCAGCCAAGGGCGGCTCGGGGCCAAGCTCCCTGAGCTCAAGGTCAAAATGACGCGACAGAAGGATGGATAACTTCTGTGCCTCCAGGGCCAATGGTACTTGATAGAGATTGACCACGTCACGGGCTTGAATCACCTAAGGATTATAAAGGAAAACAATAAAATTATTTTAACGGCAATGCCATTAGCTGAATTAGCCTTCACTGTAGTATCACTAGACCTGAGTGCATTAAAACAGGGCAAACAAATAAATGAGACTAAATAATAATCTAGGAGCGCTAAGAGGATGTATTAGAATTCAAAACCTTGATGCACAGAATCAGAGACAAACGATTACACTGGAATGTTTGATTTCCACACTGTACACAGATTCTGTAACTCAATTTTATGAAGCTCCATATTCATTTATAGAAACGGCATGCTCCGAATCAGCTGAGAAACAAATCGAGGATCTGGCTCAAAGACAATTGCTGAACAAAACATAGATAGCAATGGTGAACTTCAATTGCCCAAAATTTTAACTCAATCAGAAAAATACAAAAGCCAAATTTGATGCAATTTTCCTTAAATCAACACGAAATCTACTGGTTCCTTAGTGGACCGGGTTTTAAATTGTATCAAATTGAAATCATCCGATCACCACATACTTCAGGATGAGTTTATATCTTACTTGAAAGGCTAGCAGATCTTATTTGCACGACCCAAAACTAGAACAATAAACACCATGGCAAATAAATGCAAAAGTATAGGGAAACCGAAATGATTGACGGGCACTCACATGGTCGGCAGGAACTTGGCAGAAAAGAGCTAACTTTTCTATAACTTTTTGGGATAGCTCACAGTTGCAGCGACAGAAGAGAATATCCGCCTGCAGACCACGAGCGCGCAGCTCCCTTATACTGACCTGTAAGACACGAAACGGGGTAAACAAAGAGAATCTATACACAATTCCAAACAACGCAACAAGTTTTTCCGACAATCTTGATCGAAGTTGATTTAATTGATATGCGAGTCCAGTGGAAAGATGCACAAATTTAGCCTGAATTTAGAAGCAATCGCAAAATAGACGTTCGGAAAGCACCATTGGAAGTTACTCGACAAAAAATACACGGTGACGCGATCAAAGGGAATGAAAACAATAGGCTGAAATACACCACTTTAGTAGATGCCATGAGATTGTTTTTGGTTCAAGCTTACACTCCTTAGACCTAATCGAAAGTCTGCAAAATTTGAGCGATTGTAAAGGTTACGAAGTTGTTAAGATTTTGGTCGGTGTCTTACAAGTTTCCATATTGGCGCACCTTCTTAAGCGCAAATAGGCAATAGCACCTAATATTTCCAAGAAACAGTTTAAATAGTTACCTGAGACCCCTAAACCCTTAAAACGTACACTTAGAAGAAACCGGAATCGTAAAAATAGAGAGCAAATATGCAAAATTACACACTTGCGTTGGCTTTGTTTTGGGTTCACCCACGGAGGACAAATTCGGCACCAAGCTCACGTGAGCGCAGCAAAAATTCTTCGATCCAACACGGTAAAGGAGTTGGCGAAAGGCCTCAACGAAGGGCATGGACTCGATATCACCAATGGTACCACCCAGCTCAATTACGCAAAGGTCAGGAGCCCTGCCCGAAGCGTCAACTGGCGTTTCAGCAACTTTAATTACCCATTCCTGGATAGCGTCTGTAACATGGGGGACGACCTAGACGAATACAATGGAAAGTTAATTGTATGCTCAATACACATGAACACAGTTGGCAGAACCTGGAGCCACTACAAGCGAATCAACGTAAAACTGAAGTACAGGCAGTTCAATGGTAAAAGCGCATTGTAACACCCCAAACATGCAAGAATACATACAAACGAATCCAAAATCATGTGATCATAAGCAATGGAAGCAAAATCCTTAACCTGGACTGTTTTCCCAAGGTATTCGCCTCTTCTTTCACGTTGAGTAACTTGCTGATAGATTTTTCCTGTTGTTATATTGTGGTCCCTAGTAAGAGTAACATTTATGTAGCGCTCATAATTCCCTAAGTCCAAATCCACTTCACTACCATCATCAAGTACGTAAACCTCGCCATGTTCGTATGGAGAAAATGTGCCAGCATCAATATTCAAATACGGGTCGATTTTTATGCATGTAACCACCCAGCCATTTGCCTTCATTATCGCTCCAACGCTGCTAGAAATAATCCCCTTGCCTATTCCACTTATCACACCGCCTGTCACTAATAGGTACTTCATGACGAGCACCGCGCACGCAGGAGAGGGCAACGCAAATTTCAAACATTCCGCCCTCTAACAACATTGGCGCTGTATCAGACATTATTGCCTGGTGGATAAAATGGCTGAAATAAGCCAAATAACTTTAAAAAAGAGAGGACCATATTATCTTAAAAAACTATAATTTGCCAGAGGTAACTTAGCCGGAGGGCAAATAACATACATATAACCACAGATCATCATAAACCTATTGTCAAAATAAAACAGATCGGCTGAAAGAAACATAACAGCTATTTAATTATTTGGAGACAGCTGTAGTACTAACAAATTACCAACCAACCCAACAAAAGCAGCATGTAAGACATTTTTAGGATGTGTGTGAATCTACTATGTATTGAACATTTAGTTTTTGTGAAAAATCCCGTTGAAAATAGCGTAATAATACCAGGTCAAAACCTGGCAAGTTATGTGGATTTCGATCATAAAATCCCGTACTTTGTCCGCCGGAGAATGCCTCGTACACCAGTGTTCAGTAGAAATAGCATCATGATTTGGTATTTTGTCTAGCTGTGTTTAAGTACAGAGGCGCCTTATGCCCCACAGGTTGTCATGTAACCCTTACCTTTTCTTCCATCAGCCTCCGTTTTAAATCCCTTGGTCAAAGATACCCATCTGTTGAGATGGTAATGCATTTTCTGATGATGGGACTATGAAAATAGAAAAGGTTTCATGGGAGATCGGGATTTATATCCTCTCTGTGGATGGTATTGTCTCAGTATCCAGGTTCATTATCCGACCGGCCCATGTACGCACGCATGTGCTACAATATTTTTGCTCGGCAGTGTGATCCCTTGGTGGCTTTTAAGGCTATCCCACTCTTTTGTACGCTAATAGCATACCTTTATCAATATAATTGTAATGGATCATGTATGACATTACTTGTCATGCCATCCTAACACTCTTTGGGTCATCGTAGAGTGGATGTAGGGAAGACCGAACTACAGCAACTCTAAACGGCCCAAATGAAGAACCCAGGAGATCGGAGTGGATTTGTGAGAACTGAGGAAGTGTGTGAGGAGGGGCGGAGTTTAGCTGGGGCGTGATTAGTGCGACAGGATGTATACGAAGTAAAGCCAATGTCACTATCAGTGGAAGTGGAGCAGATTTCACTTAAGGCAGTAGATTCGAGCTCGGTCCACCGCACACCAGAGTTGGCCATAATAACAGGTTTCAGGTGACAGTGAAAGCGTTTGACGAGGGCGTTGGCAGCAGAATGGGAAGCAGTTGTCTCTGTGTCATCGTACCCGAGCAAAAGTTGTGGATATTTAAGAATGAGACCGTGAAATGACAGTCGCAGTTGGAGATGATTGTGGTGGTCTTTCCTAAGCGAGAAATCTCGTAATCCACTAGTGTTTGGGTTAACATCATTGAAAATGTATTTGTTCATGGGATCATCTGATTTCAATTCGTAAAAAGATCAGTACGTAAGTGAGTCTGTTGGAAAGAAGAAAGGACTAGCAGTCCTCAGGTGTATGTTTATAACACAGATTGGGAGAAGACGAATGTACCATGAGCGGATTTACTGAGCCGATGCGCTTTACCCCGCTGGAGGAGGACGGAGAACCTTGCCCTCTATCGTAATGGTTTGGTCGCTTATGAATTCCACTATGGCGCGAATACTGGGGTGAGACCGTGAGTGGGGGTATTCAAAGCGTTTCAACAGAAGGATCCTCGGACAAACGGTCAGGCTTTAACAGCGGAGACTTTGGAAGTAAATTTTATATCTCTCTGGAAAGAGAGAAGCTCAGAAAAATTGGAAGACGAGTAGCGTCACTGGATTTTAAATCAGTATCTGTATGTTGCATAAGGCCATCGTTTACGGGTAGGAAGCATTCCATTTTAAATGGTGTAATCCAACCTGGAACCGTGCATCTGCTACTACTTTCTGATTTCCTTTGAAATAAAATACGTCAGTGGCAAACTGTGAAAGAAAGTCCAAATATCTTGTCGCTCCAGGTGAACGTCAGCCTAACAAACTGTGCAACACGTATGTTAGAGGATTGTGCTCTGTATATAACGTAAATGTACGGCCTCCGCAGAGATGTCTAAAGTGGTTAACCGCAAGTTAGGCACCCAATGGCCCTCCTTCAAAAGTATTGCCCCGTGTTTCTGCTGGTTGAGGACGCTGGAAGGGAGATAGCAGTCAAAGTTCATCGTTCACAACCTCTTGTAGCACCGCGCTTGCAGCTTCGTACCAGGAATTCGGCGTGGGGAATGGTTATGCTGATAGGTTATTGGGGGAGCTCGTCAATGCTACCGGTTTGGATGAAGCAGTTATCATTTCAAAGACCCTGGTTGGCTCATCGTTGGAGCTAAACGCTTGGTCAATTTCACCACAAGAGGATCCTAGAGGCCAAAAAAATCGACGGAGCTGACTGCAAAGAGTTGGGAGTGCGTAACCCTTGACGGTGAACACTTATCTGATAGAATAATGCAGAATGAAAAGTATGTTCAAGGATAAGCAATGGCATCACTTCTAAATGAAACTTGGTAGCGTTGTTTGTTTTCCCGATTACTTGAACGACGAGGCTATCTAAATAAACCTTTATGCTTCATTGGAGTTTTCGCTGACTACCAGAATATCTTCAGTATGCGCAATGCCGAATGGTTGTCCTCAGGTTACTTGTAATGTCTGCGCAGCATTGCCGATTCAAAATAGCATGCTTACAAATTCAAACCAGTCAAAAGGCAGTTAGACCGTTTTCAAATGTCTTCTGAAGACATAGGGATCTGAGGCTAGCGTCGGACCAAATCAATTCTGGCAAAAAATTCTTAGTGAAGAAATGTCAAAAAGACCTGTAGATGAGGGGTAAAGTACTTACCTGGTAGCGTTACAACATTAATTGCTAGATAACCTTCGCTAAGTATTTCTTTGGGTACGATGTGGGGAGTCTGAGGCTAAGGATTGTTGGACCATAGGAGTACACCTGAGTCTATCATGCGCTAGAACTTCCAGTTAGCTATTTTGGGCTTCTCTGGGGGTAGTTATCTCAGCCTCGTTAAAACAGAGGGGGAGTGGAGGGGTTCAATAGTGTTAATGTGTCGCACAACGTCGTGTTCCAGATTCATAGTGAAAGTCAGCTGTGCAATGCCGAGGGACTGAGTAGGATGTGGCGAGGACCCACTATGTGAAGGTAAAGTCAATCAAATGTTGATCGATTTGGCTGTGATGCCTTCCTCTAGACGGGGAGCGTAGTAGCTCCGTCAATGAGGCTTCCCTAGGGTACATCGATGACGAGGTCGAAATGTGAAACCGAGTCAACGCCAATAATGGGATGTTATACGATGGTAATTGTGAGGCTCAAAGGGTACTGACGTCCTGAACCAGGGTCAAGAATGAGAGTTTGCTGGCCGTAGATGCAAATGATTGTTTCAATGGCCATTTGGAAGCGTGTGAAACGGATGTGAGGTTGCATTGTTGAAGTCCAGCTGGAATAATACTACCATTAGTGCTAGCGTTAACTACGAATTCCGGCCAGTTCTGTTGACATGTAAATAGAAGAGGCAGATAGAGGTGTGGCATGTGGCAATTACCGGCATTACCGATGAAAATCGCTGACTTTCATTGGTCGTATAAGCCTCAACCGCTGGAATGGGATCCAGTCGATTTCGATCCCCAGTAAGGTTTGTCTTAGTAGTTTAGCGTTGAGAGTTGCTCAGGTCTTCTCTTTCAATACTTTGTTAATGATGTCAATTACTTCCTTTAAGAACTCCTTGGGCAGTTGTGTGACCGCCTGTGAGAACATTGCGGCTTGCGAGGTAATTCCGTTACAGCGAAAGTTCGCCTCGACTTATTTAAACTATACCCGGATGTGAGACAAGCCAGAACATCTTTGTAAATAGCAGCGAGCAGTCAAGTATTACGGGAGAACATAGCCACCTATTACTGCCTAGACAAACTATTGTAATACGATAGTGGTTTATCCCTCAGTTCTGATGAGGCGCCACTTTTGTACTTTGAATTAACCCTCTTGTACCTCGCTGGGTGGGCTGGTTTTTTGGGCCATGCCAATAGCCCAGACACCTTCTCCGTGCTGAATACACATATTCTGCCTGAGCATTGTGTCTTCTTTCGTCTTAAGGGAGTCTCGGGACGCTACACTATACCTACCATAAATGAATGACCTCAAAGTAAAGTAATCCAGTTAGTACAGACTGACAAACACGCTACGCCATATACAGTATTACCAAACATTAAAGGGGGAAGTGAAAGGCGCCTATCTAGGGCATTCGAGGCCAATCGAACGCGCGGCGATGAAAACACAGGAGCGGTCATATGTACTCGGAAGAGTTCATATACAGATAGGGGCGAAGTAAAATGCAGATCATACTTTTATTCCAACAACTTAGCCACATCTTAGTTATTCACGGTCTAGAACGCCACAACTGTCCGCTAGAAGTAAGGGCAGGTCTTACCAGGGCGACCTATCCGCGCATGTGAGTCCAAAACGTAGGCGTGGTGCGGTAAACGACACAGTATAATTTATCCACTTCAACAGAACAATTAAAAGCATGTTTGACTTGTTCTGCTTACGGCTTTTGCAATTTCACCCAAAAAAAAATTTAAAATGATATTGTGTAAAATGCAAACTTTGAACAATCAGCTTTTAAGTATGCGTGCACATTGTTAAAGTGAATTAATGGCTGTGGTGACCACTTTGCTACTTGCAACATATATTTCGGTAATTAGTAAGAATTAATCTGAGTATAAGGAGATGCTATTTAATAGTTTACGATCAAGCATGTTAAAACCTCTTAGAACAAATTAGTTCTTACATCCAAGCCATAGAGTTTTGTGTCTGCCACGAATTAGCGCCTACTGTATTAAGTGTTTGAATTTATAACTGTTCTTTTAGTCAGAAGGCTTACATTGATTTTTGCACCACGATTTGTTTTAATTTTTCAAAAACCTCTAAGTATGAGTCTACAAGATTACAACTGCATTATACAAGTGGTGTAGCTGGTATCGTGATAGTTTCATGACCTGCCCTCCCATTAAGTGCGTTTTGGTTGGTGATGGTGCAGTTGGAAAAACTTGCCTGCTAATAAGAAAAGTTACTGGAAATTTTCCTGAGTCGTATATACCGACGGTAAGGTTTCATCTACTACTATTTTCTAGGTGTTCGACAATTACACAGTACCTATTGAAATAGAAGGGACTAAATATCAACTGAGTTTAATGGATACAGCAGGTCAAGAGGGATACGAAAATCTTAGAAGACATGTATATCCGAACACTAGCGTGTTTATTTTATGCTTCTCCGTGGGTCTTCGAAGTTCCTTCTGCAACGTTACAGACAAGGTGAGAATTTTAAAACTTAGGCACCATTATTCTTGCTCCAGCTGCATTTAACCTTAAGGTTTTTGTTTACATGTCCAAATGCATTTCATTTGATGGATTTTATGATGACTATTTTGAGATCTATTTCAAATGGAAACCAACAAATTGTGATGTCATAATTAAATGCACTTATATACTTCAATGCTTGTCTGCTGAATTTAGTGCATTTTCATACATTGCTTTGTTTTAGAAGGCGTTAATTTATGCCTATTGTTAACATGAAATTAATTAACATGTTGATTAGTTGTCGATGGTTTCAAGGAAATCCTCAAACCTGCATTATTTGGTGTGTGTGGTTGATTTTATTTCGCCATTGTTATAATGGGTGCTAGTAATCGGCATTTTAGAGTTTGTATGTATAGTTAACCAACGTGGTCATCTTCCTACAGTCCCTCTACCCCTTAGTGAACACTCCCTTACCACTTTAGTGGGTTAAAGATATCAGAGAGGTTTGTCCGACTACACCAATTCTCTTGGTTGGCTGCCAAACCGACATTCGCGCAAATTCTGGTATGAATGCAACACTGTATTATGAAGGAAAGAAGCTCGCAAAGGAAATTGGAGCAGTAAAATACATGGAATGTTCAGCATTCACAAACGTATGTCTGCTTCCACTTTTTATCTTATTAAAACGTAACCTTCATTGCTTGATTACCAATTTTTGGATATAGTTGCCTTGTTACTTTAAAAATATGTACAGCGAGGTCTTACTTTATGACTTCTTAGTAATGCAAGATTTAAAGCCTTTTTTGAAAAAAAGCTTTTTCGAATCCAACATCGTTTTCTTTTTAGGATGGTGTCCATGATGTTTTCAGTAACGCCATTCTGCTCGGTGCCGGTGTGAAAACCAAAAAACGTTCTCGTTGTTTAATAATGTGAAATAGGATCTGTACAATTCTGGTACCCTACAACATATGTATAGGCGTACTATATTGCAACATATTTCCATATCTTTAAATAAGTAATAAAACCCAAATATACTGGATGGATGTTTTTTTCAAAAATACGCAGGATTTGTTCAGGCCTAGAAAGTGCTTTAATTTGTAAATAACATATTGGTTGAATTATAATTTCCTTTTACTTGCACTTAGTGGATGCGTAACTAGGAGCAGAACCGTTTTGTTCATCACTTCATCGCTATCGTTATGCCAAATTTAAGCTTACGTACATACATATGAAAATAGAGCTCGTAAGTTATAGATTTACTGAAACGGTAGAATGCGTAATATGATCTGTATGCAAAAAGGTAGATCAGGGCAAATATCCTTAAATATCATCCATCTTTCCTATAAAGTATGATTCAGCTTGAGGCATGCCTTACACAGTCCTTTGCATTATTAGTGTACTGATTGTTAGGGCATTTTTATCATTTTTTAATAACAAGTATGTCGAAAGTGGTTGATTACCATAGCATGATTAAAGCGTTAGCACCATGATATCTATAAAAAGTTTATATGCATTACCAAAGCTTCTTCTGGCTGGATATCTCACGTGATGGGAAAAATTTTTAAGGCATATGCAAAATGTGCAACAGTACAATAGAATAACCTTGTATAACAGGCTTTTCGGATGTTCTAGCTGACTAAGAGGGAGCCTTTAAAGGTTTAAAACACTAATAGACTCCATAGTAGGTGCTGACGAAGTGCAGGGCGGAGTTAATTGTGCTACGATGGGACTGCTTAATGGTAGATACATTCGCATATTGTAGCGTGGCTTCAACTAAATGGATGGGTGTTTGTGATTTGAAGTTGTTTAAGTTGAACCGAAATCTGGTAAATCCTATGAGGCATTTGAATTTGTAGAGGAATAAACGCAAGAATATTTTAGCATTAAACATATCATTTCTCCAGGTATTCGTATTCTCTTTCGAGAAACCGCCTGCTCAGTGTCATTTGACATTGCTGAGCACTTCCATAAAAAAATGCAGTTTCATTGAGCGAATGCTTCTATTGTTTGGAAGTGTTGGGAGTTAGAGCTCTTCATCATGGTTAGCTGAGTAAGTTTCTTTTCGAAAGATTAGTCTGGTTACGTGGCACCCCCCATCCCAGCACTAATCCTTCAATACCTCACCCACATGATTGGGTATTGAAATTTGTTTTGCTCTCCAAGATATCTATAAATAGCCAAATACGCAAGAGAAACCACCTACAGGTAATTTTAACTATTTAGCATGATCATTTATAGCCAGGAAAATGTTAGTTAGATGGGAGCTTGAAAACACTTAGGCTTCCACTACAATACTACCTACAAAACTTTCATCCACAAAAACGTTTTCAGTAATTGGCAGATTTTTCAACATTCACATCAGCGTATGGAGAATGTGCATCCCATTAATTGCGAGGTTGCACAATTTTCGTGAATTGTGTTAGAATAACTGTTAGGTGTTGGGGGTATAATTTGAAGTGTCTTCTTTTAATATAACATACTAGGATAAAGTGATTATTCACTAAACTTAAAAACTCAAGTTACCCCCGAAGGCGTAATGAACTACTAGATCAGCGGTACAGCTTGGTGTTTTGTAATGGGGCATGGAGGATGCGAATGGCACGATTGGGAACAGATCCTCTCCGTGTGGAAGTAGTAATGCGGCAGCCTGAGTAACCGTCAAAACTCAATGGTGGAGTCCTCCAAAGGGCAGAGGTCATGCACTATTTGGTATTCTTTTCCTAGATTATACTGAAACATTATGCACAAAGTTTTTCTAAGCTTTTATTTCTGCATTTATGACAGATAAATTTGTTGAATATTGCAGTTCGTCTATCTTAGAGGAAAGAGCGTGAGAAAACAAGTGGGATTTGGGAGAAATCAAAGCAATGCCAACTCATAGAGACGGCCTTACTTTGATAAAAAACTACTTTGGATATAACACTGCAAGATTTTCAGTACTATGAGTACTAATTTAACCACTAACATGCCAATGCACACCCAAACGCAAATAAAGAAAAAGCCATTGTTCAAGTATGCAGCGGCAAAAAGCTGGACCGGTTGTAGTGCCTCTTAATATAACACTTGAATACAGAGAGCAAGTTATCGTTCAGTAATGGAATTACATGAGCCAGTTACATTTCTGAGAAATTACTGCTTCTGTTGTACACCTTTCGCGTCGGTTGAAATGAAAGAGAAGTGCGCATAAATTGACACCTTCTGTATTTGCTAATGAAACGACTTTGCTAGAAAGCTAGTTTATATCGGTGTGCCAGAACCAAGTCAAAATGCTACAAAACTGGATTCATTAGAATCTTCCCAATTCAAAAAGTGTAGGTAACGGGAAGAAAAAGAGGGAAGCAATTCCTCTGCCTAGATATTGTACAGACCAAACACTGAGGAAATGCTTAAATTATTGGCTTCACAGGTGATTGTGTGACACTTTCCACTGACTTTACCCACCTTTAGTACCATGGCGGCGAAGGATGAGTAGCACATATGCATTAATTGACGTGGATGTCGCGTGCTGCACCGCTAAGGTACCAAATGCCATTTGCCAGCATTTCAAGTGTAATCTTTTGCCAGAGGTCGACAGTAGATATCGACATAAAAACAATTATCTGCACAATAGCTGCAGTAGTCAAGCTTCGGATGCATTATGCTACTGCCTAAAAATAGAGCAGAACCCCATCCTTTGGATTTTCATAGGCAGGCAATTTGTTGTCTGTTACCAGAGTAAATATGGAAGATGGGTAGCAAAGGAGATCAACTCAACTGGAGTAATGATAATGTCTTGTACTTTACGCACACACCTCACATAAAAAGCCAAAACCAAAAAATCTATTGAAATACGTTTTGGAAGCCGTAGCAATCTCCTGTGAATGTACTTTAAGGCAAACCAGACCTATACGAGATCACTTTGGCAGTGGAGCTCTGTAACAGAGGGGTGGTGGCTGATCCAGAGAAGGAATTCGGTGTTTAGAGTTTTAGAGTGTATGCCTATCATTTCGCTTGCTTTGTTAACCAATAAAATCATAATTGAAGGTCTGAGAGTATAGAACTTCGGTAGCCAGTGGCAGAGCTGAAAATGTGCGATTGCCTACATTTTTAGAGGACGTACTTATCATTTGACGTCAGGCGCAATTGGTTACGTAGCAAACACCACAGACAGGTTTTTGATAAAGAAACTCACAGCAATGGTTGGTGTATGAAGCACGGTGTTGTTGTATTTTAAGGTAAGTGTCATATTTAAATCCATCCGTTAATAATATTTTACGCCAATTTTGATTATTTATATTCTTTGAAGGAAATTGTCGTGATGGCATTCAACTGAACATAAAACCCGTAACGGGTCACAAAAGCAATCCGTTGGTCACGAGATGAACTTCTCGGCTAACACGCATTGGAAATAGTTTGATAAAACTCGGGAACAGCACTTGTTAGCTAAACTAAAAAGTAAACTCCTTCATTTTAATTTGTTTTACCAAAGTGTCTCCTGAACAGACAGACTCTACCAAACACCAAAATTGTCACAAATTTGCTTTCTAAGATATATAGGAAGGACATTTGCAAACTCGGCATCATTACAGACAAGGCAATTGTAAATTTCTAAAGCCCAAATTACCGCTCCAAGTTAGGCACAGCTTTTTGCTCGTGTCCACAATTACTATTCGGTTTAAATGAGCTCAAACACTGATTTGAAGTAGGAAAGCAAATACTATAATTCTATGTACTTCAATCAGCTTCGCAATTCTGTGCCATTTTATCAGACCCCCTTAATACGAACTACAAGAGATCACGCACCATTGGTAACTAGTACTTCTTACTCAGTATTGTTATCGCTAACAGTTTAGGAGTTATAAAAAACTTTTAGGGCCTTACAGCTATTTAAAGTTACATTTTATGGGTCATATGTTTTCCTCTTGGAAGAGCCACTTTAATTTGTTGCTTTCTGATCGTAAAAAAAGACTTCATGAGCACACTTAAATTCCATTCTATGGATTGAAATATAATCTTTGACTGAGGTGCTCCACTGATATTTCAATGCAAAGTTCACTCATAAAGCGCAGCTGAACTAGATTCAAAGCGTCAGCCACGCCCTATGCTACAAATTAAGAAAGTCTCATTACTTGATTAACAAACTTACTATTATCGGTATTTGATCATTTGAGTGCAAGAAATTGCCAGAATTTGCATGATGAACAGCCAAAATTGAACACGGACTCGCTTGATATGCCACTTTACTAACCAAATTGGGTGGACAGTATGGTACAACGCATTGTTACCTAGGTCTTGAAATCTTTCAAGTATTTGTGCTAATATACCTTTCATGAAAGCCCAGAATTTCCTCCATTTCAATTAAAATATTTGCATTGGCAACATTTTAGGCTTTTAGCGACGCTCTCTCAGGTTTGTAGCCAGTTTGAGGCTAGCAGCGCATTTTGCCAGTTGCTGCATTAGCCCTTGGGTAATCGGTGAGTTTAGCCGTCCAGTAAGACTAATTAATTTTTTTTACTTAATGCGTTTTAGTAACCAGTTTACTGTTCCTTTTTGATGTGTTCGCAAAATATCCGCACCCAGTAATATTTGCCTCGCCCGAGCAAATAATCCATGCCATAAGTCATTAAATTTCAGAAAAAGGTGTTTAAAGTCCCTCAAGTAACTAGACTACTACTTGACCTACCATATTTTTTTAAACGTTTGTCTTTTGGTAGCATAATTATCAGCACGGATGAACAGTAACCTCGGGATAGTAACTGACAATATGGGCGTATTTTTCAAACCCATAAATCTACAAATGAGGATTTCAGCGATTTAGATAATGCACAGTTGCATTTGTCTCACTGTCTAATTAATTTTCGAGTTGTAATAAGGAAAATTTTCTTAATCCCTTCCAAGAATACATACCCCTATCCATCTTAGACTGAGGGAAGGTTTTGGCAAGCGCATGGGTCTTACAGCGCAGACTGTTAATTAATTAATTATTAAATTCATCACACTTTTGTAAATTGGTGGTATTTAGTATCTGTACCAAATAAGTGAAGTGGACCTCCGACTCCTCTTTCTCTTAATGGTATCCTAACTATAATACTAATGTGACCGTGTATGTGTGTTGTCTTCTAAGTACACACAGTGGTTCCTATGGTTAATTTGACTTCACCAACCATTATTGAATTTCAAAAAAATGGCATTATGACAATCCTAAATGGAGGACCTGAAGAAATGGTAGAGATCTGCATTTACAGTGATCTTGTGACGCAGAGAATTATGCATGTTGAGGCCTTAAGGAATCGCACCTATGCCGGAGTGGTTGCGAAAAACTGTGGCCTCACAGGCATGCGACTGTGCAGTCTCTGCGGCCCCAAGTTAGCGGGCTTCCGTCTACACACGCAGGCGCGCCCTCATACACGCTCACGCAGCACACGAAATGAGTGCTACGCTCCTTGGGATGCGATTGGGTGGTCACCAGGTAGCAGCTCTTACTCACGCTTTTGTCGGTGTGATCAGAGCAAAACTGCTTCTGCATTACCGAAAGATGCCTCATGTGTTGTGGATTGCGCTCCTGCTAGTGCCTGTGATCCGTGCAGAAGCTGGCAATTTGCTTTGTGAGTTTTACCGTCCGTAATGTTTGTAATTGACCACGTTTTATGTAGAAATTTAAAGCTTCTGCTATCGTGTTCTGCAATTGCACAACTATCTATTGCATATTAAACTGTGGGAGAAAGAGAAGTGGTCTCTAAAATAAAAATTGCCATCTACTTTGATTTTTATGAGCTAACAAAATGCGTAAGCAGCTCATAATTGGCCTACTCATGGAAAGTCCTAGAAGTTAATAGAAACAACCATTATGTTTCCGCCTTAAATATCGCTCCAGTTTCAAGGTGGAATTGTGATGGAGTTATGGTTATTTTTGAAATGATTCAACTTTTAGAAGAAAATACCTTTTCTTGCTTTTCCTGCAGTGGATGGTGTAAGCGCTGCACCCCGCGTGCGTGCGTCAGACAGTAGATGTGGCCCTTCCACAAGCACTACAATAAGATAATTTAATTGTACACTAAAATCAAGTGATTAAGGTTGGCATTTGCATAAGAAAGAGATTTAGACCAGTTTTATACATCATTTGACGCCATTAGAGCATAAAATTCGTTTTACTTTTTTGAAATATTTTAACCAACAGTCTCAACTCCTACCTTCTAATATGCATTGTGTTTAATGTCCTTTACTTAGCCAAGTAATCTCTCTAAAATTTCGCCGGCATGACTGCGTTTGTGTTCGAAGAGGCATGAACTACACTGTTGATAGAGCTTGATTATCAGATTTCCAAAAGAACATTGAAGCTGATGTTTGGAGCAATTTAAACGTGTTCTTTGCACAAATTAACCAAACATCTTAAACTATTTTATTTCCTTACATTTCAGACTTAACTTTCAATGAAAATGTGAACTCCACAGTAACCCAAAAATTTTTTGACGAAATCTACAAAAGTGAAAGCGACAGTAAGCTTCCCAAAAAGGTTACTTTTGCCAATCTCCGTATTTCTGAAAGTCGTAAGTTCTTGTGCATTATAATCCAGTCAACTGTACATCTTTATTGGCTATTGTTGGCTAAAATAAAGTTAGCTTTAAGACTTCTCTGCAGTGGTTTTTATCACAAGCTTATCGTGCTACGAGGGGTTGACTTTAGGTACTCTATTTATTGACTTACTTTTTTTCTGAATCAATGTCCAAGAAATGGCATCATCCACCTCGACGAGCAAGTGTAGATGGTTTTCCTGCTAAAAAAGATACATTTGGGTATCCTATTCTATGAACTTTAAGGCAAAGCTGTTAAAAATAGTCGAGTACACCAAACTAGGGTTGAAAGGTGCATCATCTCTCCAGCCTGAACAATTTGTTGATCATTAATAATTATTAAACTGGGCACTCAGCTCCTCGCAATTACCATATTATGTCTGATTTGGGTATATTGGTTGAATTTTTCCAACTTTATACGTTACCGTAAACATAACATTAAAGTAATTAGATTGTCATTCAAGTACATTTTTATTTGCAGCAGCTGAGTCACCCAGTGGAATTTTTGGTGCAAAAGGCTACTTCACAGGTCTGAGAACCTTCTCCACGACTCCGTTCAAATCTTGCCACGCCGACGATGTGTATGTAGCGTCGCTGAGCATAAACCCAGCCGAGTTGCTTGCAGCCTGCATAAAGCTGTTGGAAAGGATGCGAGACGAAACACAGGCCTCTGCCACTGAAAAAACAGTGATAGCCATACCTAAGTACATGAGTACGTTATTTCCGCATTTATTCAAAAGCACTTCCATTCCTCTCAACAAGAGTGAAATCTGTCAAGATGTTAATAAAGTCGTGAAAGCATTAACCAAAATGGGCAAACATTTCCTAAAACCTGACTTCCATAAAATTATTGTGATGGATCAGATTGACATAAACTCCGGGCTCGTAAACACAGGGCAATCAGGTGAATCTGCGTGTTTGGATGGTCAAACCTCGGCGAGATAGTATAGAGTTTGAGCAAATGAAATGGATGACTTCAAGCGCATAGTTGAAATAATAATGTCTTACCCAGTGTCATCTATCTTCGGCAACTGTTGTTAATCAAACGCAACAACAACAGCGCTCCCCACTAAGTTTAAGCGTGGCTTAGTGGGAGTTCAAATGTATTTTAAGCGAGCCATTGCAATACTCGACAGATAAATGCCTACCGATGCATCTATATGTGCTCAAGTAGGCTTAAAATTTGTCGTTCCTGCTGGAGCGTATATCTAGAAGCAAAGACATTCAAACTGACTTTAGAACGTTTTATTCATTAGATATTATTTACATGCTTCTTACAATTATGGGTTTTTTGTCTTCTTTTTAGCTGTTATCGAAAATCCGTTTGTGTGTAAGCTTTCCTTAAAAGTTTTACATACTTTTATTGTGTTTCATCGAAAAGTAGTTACGCCTTCAAAATCGCTGACCATGTTAAATGCATACTTAATGTATAGCTTTGAATTTTGCAAACTCTGCGTTAGTTTTGAAATTCTCGCCTAACTTCTGCCAATTTTAACCAAAACTCAAGCCAACGTACTCACCTGGCGATTTGGAAAAGGTGTGTGGTGAGTGTGAGCATGCACACGTAAACGCCAAATCACTCTGCTGTGTGGATTGAATTGGAATCAACAAAAAGTTGTCTCAGCAACGTTGCACGCTGTTGCAATGCCATGCCGTTCCACTTAAACTGTTATTACCCTCATTTTGTAAGCATTTGAACATTTGGAATTTGATCTGCTCTAGTGCTTCCATTTATATCCGTCGCCCAGGAATTGAGAACGAAAATGCTGATCTTCTGGTATCAGGATGTGAATGATGCCGGCATTTTAACAACCAAAATTAATGAAGCCAACGCCAACAATGTGCTCCTATTATTACCGTCGGCACACTTGAATAGCGTTCTCGAAAGCGTAAGAACTTACCGCCTTGCCATGCTTTCAACATTGATAAAGAGGTGCGCGCCTCAATGCATGCTGTAGGGTAACCAGAATAGAACAAAATAATTCCTTATTCGCTATGATATCGACAATATTCTAAAATATACAGCCATTTCTCGGGCATTGCAAAAGAGTGCACCCAACTAACGGTGCCAGGTGGTTAATTTACTCGCCACACATTAAAAACAAGCTACTAAGTGATGGTAGTGAATTCTGTCCGAAGGTTCCATTGGTGTAACCATGTTCGTACGCCTGTGCGTTACATTCTACACCATTCAAGCGATGGCATTTGGTAGCATTTTAGGACGCGTGATGGTTGGTCTTTCTTACAGATGGATTAGGTAAAAATTATTGTTATGAATTTCTATTTGCCACAATACTTTATGTTGCGACAACGTAAAGTTCACTTTCACAAGTTGGACATGGCAAGACAAACATAACAATTTCATATCCTTACCTTGTATAAATAGAAGTAGAAGGAAATTGTTTTCATATCTTTAGATCGAAGAACAGGGGCTTTTTCAGTCACGAGTAAAAGGCATCAGTGTGTGAATAATTCACTTCTTGGTATTTTGTTCTTTTAGATTTTGCTACGTTCCTGACTGCAATTATTAATTACACTTAATCTTTTATTATGTCAGCATGTGCGGAGTTATGATGGCTCAGGCCTTCTTCTAAGTTGAGACAGGTGAAAAATCTCCTAACGAGACATAGTTTTAAGTACTATTTGATTTCTGCTGCTTATTTCTGTTTTTTCTAAATTCAGGCCTTTGAGAAAAACTTATTTACATGGAATCGGCGTTGGGTTATGATGTCCTTCGTAAGTACTTCACTAAGCTTGATAGAAACTCCTTTTTCATGGTTCAAATAAACATATCTGACACTAGGCGCAATTGAAAGTACTCCCTTATCCACCGCCTATCGTTAAACTACCGGTTCCAGGATCATATTTTGACAGACTAATGAAAGACTGAATCTATATATTATGATACAGATTAAAGGCCTTAAGCTTTTTTGTGCACCATATTTTCACTGAAAGAACAACTTTCTGAAGCAAGTTATAAAGACTCCTAATTATAAGGTGATCTTACCTGCCTCTTAGGATGGTGCTTTGCCTGCGTTACCTCGTGGACAGGAGGTGCGAAACGCAAATATTTCCGTGGTTCATGTTGGAAATACCATCAACTTGAGTTCAGGGACAGTGGATACGTTGGAAGACAAGTTGGCCCATGACACGGCTTATGTGGCCAAGGCTTATATAGACATTGTCTGCAACAAATCTGTCCAAGTTGGTGATACATATTAGATCTCATCCAATTCACATAGGTTAAGGACATGACAATTAAGGGAACTACAGGTGACTTCAACATGACAAATCTTAATTCACCCAGAGAGACTGTCATCTTGACAATTACCAGAGGTCTAATCAGCCCTCCTGAAGTTGTAAGTTCCAGTAATTTACTGTGCCGCGAAAAAGCTGTACGGCTAAAAATATCATCGTTGCTTGAACTCTGAAACGGTTCCATCAAGACCATTTTATGCGAAATTTTCCATTCATTCAATTAAAAGTTGGGTAACATAGGTAGAACTCTATTTGGCAAGAACCGAAAAACCCGTAAAATGCAGTTGTAGAAATTGCATAACTATAAATTTAGATGTTTTCGTGGAAAGTGACTGTGCCAATTTCTGGACTTCAGGTTGGAAATATTTCAATAACACAAGGTGGGATCACCATTAATGGATCCTTTAATGAAATGTTCACCTTCTCGGATAGCGCAATGAAGGAGATTTTGACTTCTCGTAGTATCCGACTTGCCGTTGTGCTGGTAGATTTCTATTATTTATTTCTTTATTAAAAATAATTGCACTAAACGTGCTTGCAAGTGGCGAGGGATGAGACTGCGTTTGTTGTTGATTACTGCACTTAAAATTAGTGGCTTAATTAATCTCATTCAGCATTTATCATTGTGGTTGGCGATTTACTGCGATCACTTATACAGTATGTGTCGGTATTACAGATTCCTCTATATTCTGGACTAAAAATTACAACCCTGATGTTGACCAGTTACTCATGGTTTATTAGAAATAGGCCAGGCAGTGTAAGCCTATATGGGGAATTTCAAGTCATCACCTAAAATTCTTTAATGAAAGTGACTGAAAGGCAGAAGTCCCGATTTTCCATTCATATGTTTAGTATTGAATGTTTCCAATTCAATTGTCTCATATTTGTATTGAACCTCGAAATCTAAATGGCATCCAGGGGCGCTCAGGTTTCAAAGCACCTAACTGTATCATTGAGAACTTTCTCACATATCCAAATACATTGTAGTCTAATGTATTCCAGCCCGAAGACCCTAATTACACACTCTTATATTCATCAAAAATCAACGAGTTTCGGAAACTAGATGTGCTATGTTAAGTTCGGGAATAATTTAAACATATATTTCACTCACAGTCATATATAGCTATACCTTGGTATATCATTTGCCTTTTTTTCACTGTTCCAGACTCCACCATTTGCTATGTTGGATAAGAAGGCTATTCAGCCATCCAGAACACCCAGTCCTTGCGATATTACTCAACTGAGCGGTCTGTCAGTCGACGTAGTTCGGGAGATCCTCACTCCACTCGGAGTGACTTACCAATGCACATGTTACCCTTCGAGTCTTCGTGATGATTCCTTGCAAAGTGTTTACAATGGGGTGGGCGTTTTTGTTCGCAGATGATGACATTAATCCTGTTCAATTTGATCATCCGAGCAGTACATCGCTAATTCGTTACCTTAACCTAACATTTACTTTTCATTTTGTGTGCATGTCTAAGTTTTATGATAGTTGATAGGCACACTTGACTTATTGAAGCATTTAACAATAAATTGTTAATTGCCTTCATTCACACTTTCCTTGCACGCCGAAACAGTTAAATGAAAAATAGTAAACTGACCACCCGTGACTGTGACTACTTTGCCGCAATTTGATCTTAAAAGCGTTAAACTACATAATAGTGCCAATAAGCCCCAAAGAATGATATATTTTCTGAAATTTTCTTGCAAAATCACCAGCACTGGTAACGACTTAGTGCAAAATCTTTATTTGTCGGTATTAAAAGAACACCAAAAGCAGAAATGACTGTTGACAGACCCTATTTCTCTGTTAATAGAAGACTTTCTGCCATGTTTTACATTTAAAATGGATTTTGTGGAAATTTTGTCTATTAACTTTGAAATATTTTATAGAAGCAAAACTCATCTGTTCAAAATAAACATGACAGTTCCTGGTGGAAGACACAAAGGGAAGGAAGTGTTTAAATAATCAACTTTATTAGGGAACTGAGCAAATCTTTTTTACATGGTGGAAGGTAAAAATATCAGTTTTGAAGCAAATTACAATTTTTGGAGCAACGTCGACTTTTTTCTTTCATTTAGTTGGCAGACATGGCGGTTGGAGGATTCGCGGTGGTACCTCAACTAAGGGATAATTTCGATTTCATAAGCAACTTCCTCTACTTTACCTTCTCGATTTTGGAGAAACCGCTTACCAGCACGGAGACAACCTCTCTCTGGCTATTCTTCAAACCTCTTTCCGCCGGCACATGGGTTATGGTGGTATTTTGTTGTTTTGTGGTAGCGCTGGTCCTGGCCACACTCAACTACTTCTCACCAAACCAATTGGACTACGGCTTCATTGAGTCCATTTTCGTCACCTTTGGGTGCCTTTTCCAAGGTCTCACCATCTCCCCACCCAACACCTGGTCCAGCCGCTTCATGCAGTGTGTCTGGTGGCTCTTTGTCCTCTTTTTCATTGTCATCTACATTGCTAACTATGCAGCCATCATAATGAGCAACGGCATTCAAAGTGAAGCCACTGGGTTCACGGTAAGCTAGCACTAGGATCCACACCATTGGGACATCTTTCTTTGGTAAATTTCCTACACGTTAGTTTCGTAAAAACTTTAAAGGGATCAGAGGGGATATATTGGCATGAAGGTGTAAGAACTGCGGTCAAGAGGAACTTTCATGATCATACCTGATCCTTTTTTTGACTCATTTGTCATCCATAGCAACGCCGAAGTTTGCCAGTGCAGGAAAAAGTAAATAAGGGGGATTTTTTGCTTCTTCAGAACAGATTTTAATGAATTTCATACTATAAAATTATTCTTTAAAATAAAAATATGTGGAGTCGAAAATGTGGGTAGATTGGACAAAATGAATTTTTTTGGGTTTAGGCCCTGCTGGTTGACCCGTCTACTCCTTTTGGGGCAATACCCAATTCTATGGCTGCCGCACAGTTAGATTTCTCCCAAGAATTGGAAATACAAAAAGTCAATTATCTTAGTACAAAACTCTATCCTCAAGATGATACAAGTGGTATCACCATCGAGGATCGCGTGAAGGAGGTTAGTGAAGGAAAATACAGACTCATCGGAGACAGCTTTTCTCTCGAATACTTCGCATCGAACTACTGTCTAGTTGTTAGTGGAGAGTTCTCCTCCCAACAGTACGCTATCATCCTCAAGAGGGGTACCGTTTATACCACCTTCCTAAACAACATACTCACAAATCTGACCAATAAAGGAAATATCAAAGCTATAATTGACAAGTAAGTTTTATTTCTCTTAACTATAAGGTGACGGCTTACCTATTTTCCTCCAAGCAAATCGTTATTTTTAAACTTCTGTAACCATAATAAGTTTTCTTTGAAGCTTAAACTACCTGGGTGTGTTACACGTGGCAAAAATTGTTGGTGATTACACCTCTGTCATATTTTCGGTAATTAAATTATGAAATTTTTAAATATTAAATTATGGAATTGCTATCAAACTCCTTAACCCTAAATAAGTGATTCACTTCATTTGCCAAAATGTATGCATTAAAAGAATCTAAACCCCCTCAGATGAACTTCACCGCCCTCGGCACTGCGGGTTAACATTACACTTCCTCCTTTGCGGCAGAGCCTTTGATTAATTTAATTGGTAGGCATGCTTTCGGATTTCATTTGTCACCGCAAATTAATAGCGATCGCACGGTTGTTAGGTTGACATTAATGTAGACTTCCATTTGAAAAAGGTGCATGGAAATATTATAGGTACATCACTCCTCCTGGGACCAGTTCATGCAAAGTGCCCATAAAGCAGCAATCCATTGACGAAGGCGTCCGCCATGCTATTACCCTGACCGAAGTTGGTGGTATCTTCATCCTCATGCTCATCGGCATTGCAGTTGCCATCATTCTCTCGATAATCGATTGCCTGTTCACTCAAAAATTGATAGTAAGTACCACCTAGGTGTCTTGAACCAAATGCGCATTTGGAACTGCATGTCTACACTAAAGAGTCAACAACTACCAGATACTATTTAAGGCATTGAACGCAAAAAACAACTATTTATCGTTTCATAATTAATTTCATCTAAATTAATGCTGTAGGAGTCATTAAAAACGTTGTTCTGGATACGAATAATTTATAATGGGAAGCTCACGAACGACTTTATTCGCTCACACAGATGTGTGTTTGGATGCTTCTCTTAAATTAGTTGTGGCAATAACAAAGCAAATTTCTAGAGTAAGTTGTTGAAAGAGCACTATTTTACTGCTTGACGTGAATTGGTTTGAGCTTCCACCCAATAAAAACCGATGGTGCAGAATGTTTTTTACTTAGCCTCTAGCCGACCGTATGATGCGCTCGGAAACACGAGTCCGACTTCGCAACTTCTTCTGATTGATTTTGAGAACCGTACACTTTCGGATGTCTTGCTACCTTAACTGACTATTTTATGCTTGTATTAGAACTATATCCATTTATTACTACAATAAAATCCTATAAAGTGAGAAAAATCTCCTACCGAAAGATACTACCATAATATTTTGAATGCAAGGACTCCGAGCCTTACTGCTTTATCAAAATTTCTACGGTGGATATTCAATAAATTTTATTCGGAATTATTGTTTTTGATACCTTGTGCTTAAAATTGGCTCTGGAAGTGTTGTTACGTGAATGTAGTTTGAGTAAAGTAGAGGTGGGAAGTGGGAAAGAGGATATGGAGTGTCAGTAATGAAGCGCGTGAGCTGTGAACTCGTAAACGTTGGAGAACTCCTTGCTACACATGTTGCATCGCCAAGGGTTAAAGGAGGTGTGAAGGCCCATATGGAGATTGAACAGGGTCTGGTCGGAGAAGCCGATTGTACAATGCCGACACACGAATGGGTAATGCACTGGGAGACCGAGCTCATCTGGCTCCAGGGCCTGCCACTGGCAGGATCTGCCTGGTGCACCCGTTCCATCCACTGTCTCCTCGTACTCCACTGAATTGGCCAACCCTTTGCTTCCTCCTCGACCTGTCATCATCATGTCTCCCTCTTCTGCGTTCGCTGTGCGCACCCTCTTCTCCTCCGGTATTTCAATGCGTAAGGCCTTACAGTTAAAAGTGAGAACTTTTTAATGAATTACCATTCGTCCATTTCATCATTTGGTAGTTACACCACCTTGAAGAGTCATAATTACAAGTGAGATGTGCTACTGCTGTAATATATGGTGAATAGCTATTCGCCACCCCAGAAACCGTTTCGTTAGATTCAGTTTTAACTTACATTTTATAAATTCAACCTTCAAAACTACCAACGTGCTGCCATAACTATGTAACCTGGATTAAGCTCTTTCAGCTCTTTTTCAGCCAGGATTCACATCTAATTATATAATGCAAGAATGCCACAACATTTCCCACCTAATAAGTCAGAGGTATTAAAGCAAACCTTTGCGGATCTATGGGAGTTCGAGAGTCCGGATTCTGTTTTCTTGAGAGCACAGACGCCACTATTGCAAGGATTAGCATAATCACTGGAGGATGCTGCTTGCACACCTCCCGGCGTTGAGCTAGCCCTATCTGGTTGAACCTCACCCAAAGTGCGACTGTCCACCTTTGGCTCACAGGACTTAGGCCGTTTCAACGTAAAAGGCGCTCTTTGTCCCATCGCCACTTGCAACTGCCCACATTTGTCCTCCTCCACAGCCAACGAAATTAGTCGTCTGGGCTTGCGGCCCGGTCGCGAGACTCCAGTGTCTAGCAGTGGCCTTGTCTTGATGAATATCGAGTGGAACGGCACTGTACTGTTATTCACGGGCACAGGCAGTCTGGTATACCTACGTGCCGGGCTCAGGTGGTTGAGAGTGGTCACCTTCATGTGGTGACATCCAATGGCTCCTTGGGTGCGGTCTTCCTTGTTTCCGACAGTGTTGGTGGTGGCACAGGCCTCCGAATGCACACTCTCCATCATGTGCATCGCGAGAGCGTCACGGTTGAGAAAGTCCTGACCACAGTTGGGGCAGATGAATTGTCCCTTTGCGGGCGAAGGATAGAGCATGTCAGGATCGTAGACAGGGGACTGGTGACGAGTAAGGTTGATGGGCTTGGCCTCTATGTGACTCGGTGTGGGCTTCTTGTCCGTCTGCGAGATAGGAGCACTCTGTCCACAGAGCATGCAGAGCATCTCACGAATCACTTCTGCGTTGTGATACGCTAAGCCGTGCATTGCGTTAGTCCCCATTTCAGAGAAGTTCTGTTTAATAAGCGTTTCTATCAAACTTTTCGGCACATCTGGTAACGTCGTCATTGAATCCGCGGAGCTCTAACGCAGAAAAAAAATTCCTCCTCACCAAAAACTTCTGCGAATGCCGAAATCACAATTTGGTGTGACCGATTTGCACCACATCCACATGCCGCACATGAAGTAAACAAGCATTCTACTTTAGTATCCCCTGGGACACAATGCCTCATCTACATTTACCACTGGCACATTTGGTACACCTTTTCCTAACAGATTGCCCTAAATTTTGTCTGTTTAAAAAGCTAGTTTGTTAAAAGATTTGCAGTCTAATCGTATATCAGCAAATGCGAACATTTAAAAATCGCGAATAATCATACTGTTAAAGTGCAAGCATTGATCCACTTTAATCTCCACTTTATGAAGAGGAAGTAGTTTGAGCAAGAACTGCTATAGATGGTTGTACGAACTAAGTGAGGTGGCCAGTATTTGTTAGCTTCACAGTAAATGACAAAGCGAATGGAGGATTAAGAGCAAGAAAATTGGTATGATAATATGGCTACTTTACACAACCTTCTACCGATAGGAGAGTTAAATTATTCATCAAGTGAAACGCATGCTGCTGTCCTCCTACTTCTGCCTTGTCCCAGCATCGTGCTTGAATAAGTTATAACTCCCAGTTCATGCTAATTAGAAAGGTGGTCAGAAACACATAGGCAGAAGCGGAGATGAATTTTACCTGCTACACAGCATCAATTATGCATGAGAGAGCTGCCTTGAGAGAGTATATGCGTTTTTAATTATTCACGTCGACCGCGCCAGGATGGACTGTGCGCGAGCCATTGCGTGATGCTTTGAGATGCCCAGAACAAAGCGACCCAAACGAGAGAACTGAGTTGACTGCCACGACGCCCACGACGACTGCTCTTCACTTCCACCAAATCCGTCGAGATTAATTCCGCAAAATCACCATTGGCAATCGCCACATGTGAAGCCTTTAACGTGGGTGACAGCGATCCTATGTGAACTCGTTTCATAATTTCATAGTCGTGCAACAAACTTATTGTTCATGATAGTTGCTTTCATTAAAGTGGCCCATTCCAATATTGGAATTAGTAGCTCAACTGAGTGTAAGGTACTTAAGCTTTTCGTCCGTAAAAGATAAAACCATTAAGCACTTTAACTTCCATCGGATTACGAGTAAACCCAGTTTTCGAACAAGTGTTTACGCATAACAGTGATGACTTTTCCGGAATGGTAATTAGAACAGTGAATTGACTTTATTCCCCGTCCGTGCAAAAGAGGGCATGCTCATTAGTAACGTATAAAGCATAGGCTAGCAACAATGCTTAAGATTGAAAGCAAACTTTCGTAGAAAAAGGAAGGCTTGGACGCGATCAGCTGGAGTTGCAGAGCATGGCAATCACACGAGGTTACCGTTGAATTTGGAGACTTTGCTCCTCGATAACTAGCAGTTTATATAACATCATCGAAGGGGAATATGGTATTTCTAGCGCACTAATGCTCAATGATTCTTAGTTTTCCACTATAGTTTTAGATCAAGAAAAAAATTGAATCATTATATGAGGCATGTATACAATAAATTGGATATTTTTCATGATGAAGAAGAACTGTGATGGAATCTGGAATTTCGGGAGTAGTAAGGTATTGTGACGACTACAAGGCTTATCCTAGCATGCGATTTCTTGTGTGATATTAGAATAACTGAATTTGATATGGCGTTCTACAATCCTGAATACTTGTTGTTCATTTTTCAAAATATATCAAAATCGAAAATTCTCTCCAACAATTAACTTGAGTGTATTTTCAAGAATCTATCAACCAGTTTATATTAAGAACTACTCAAACCAAAAAGGGATTCCGATATTCCTCTGTCATTGATTTGTTTTTGTCAGTTAAGGTTTTGGGAAAATTATAAAGGAATACTACCGTGAGTTTACAAATATGCCTACATGACATGGTGATACAAATTACCGTAAAATGAGCGTGCAAGTTACCCTCAAAATTTAAACTTACATGAGCTTCCTTGGTTTGTATCTGTGACATGCCTAGGTGTAAAGTGTTTCAGGTGGGTAAGCAACGGATTTATTTGTTTGCTCTTTTCTAACCATTCATGGATTTCTTCTAATCCACGTGTCGAAGATAATAAGTCGCCTATCATCTTGATTGGCTGAAGCTTGACCAATCAGCCATTCGCATTTCCTCCTGAACGAAATCCTATTTCACCTCTTGATAATTCATTCCATTTATGTAGCAATTAATCATGACTGTGAATCACTGTGAGCAGCAATATTTGCATGACTTTCTATCATCTTCGCAACATACATCAGGGGCAATGTTTGTGTACTCCGGACTAAAATTTGTGTGCTCCGTCGTAACCCACTGTATCAAATGTCGAATTTCAAACATTTCAAAACAATTTTGATAAAGCCAGATCTTTTTGAGCTTAAAGTCCATCAACACTAGTAGTAGTTAATGATTATATTTGTGTCCTTTGGAAAATCTAAAGCATTCAAAAAGGCTACAAGTAACGTAGAGGTATTTAAAGCACTTTAGGCTTGTGACTTGGCGTTTTAGGTATCACCGGAATGGAATTGAAGCTCATTTAAATATACCAAAGTTATAACAGTAATGGATGCTACAAGGCGTGCTAATACCAAATGGGCATCCTAAAGTTGCCCAAAATGTGGGTGCCAACACCATTTGTCAAGTGAGCTGATTGTGATTAGTAGATTTATCTCTACGGTCCAATTTAGCTTAGGTGTTTTGAGAACGCAATCTCAAATTGTTCAAACCGATTCGCTTTCCATAGAGATTCATTTTAAAACGTTAATTGAAAGGAAGGAAGCCTGCAGAAGGCAAGCACAATTCAGTAAATGGAGGAAAATTCGTTTGCCTTTTACTATTATGTGTTTCGGACTTGAGTTAAAATTTGACAATTTTTAATTGAAAAATTAGTGAATAAATTATCGTTTTCCTTATCTGTTACTCTTCTATCCAGCAGTATGGTTTTAGCCTCATCGAGCCCACCGTTGCCTGTTTGTGTTTCCAGAAGACGCCTTTATCTGGGACTGCCACTGTGCTCTACTTAATTAATCCATGATTAAAAGGAATATATCCATCATTCCTTGTTCCTGCTTCTCTTTTGCTCATTTCTTATTTATTCTATATATGCAAGCCACTCTAATGCAAAAGAACAGCATAAACAATAAAGTGACACTAAATATGCCTCAAAGGTTAATTCATTATTAATGAGGTTCGTAAAATATGTTTTGTAGGAACATTGAAATACAGCTGCTTGCTGAATACTGCCCTAGTCGCCTCACTAACCAAAGCATTCAATGGGTTTTTAACCATCAAAAGATTTTACCGTCTAATATCACTGAGACCGTTGAAAATGGTGCAGTGAGAGGAATCGGATTTTACCCAGGTTCCCATCAGATATGATGTCGTGGAGGTCGGTTTTAATCGACCTCTCCAGAGGTGCAATTTTACTCAATCGAAGTGGTAATATTTCAAAACACGCACTTTGTTCATGAATGTTCTGCCTAAAACAAATATTTTCTGCTGCTGCGGAGTATACCTCTCCGGGAAGGTTACGCAAATAGTTCATTACATGGCTCTCATTAATTTGCCTAAAGTGTAAATTCTCTCTAAGTGAACATCGTGAAGACCAAGCTAAAAGTGAAAAAGTTGATAATTATTATCTCCTCGGGAGGATGAAGCAAGTTTGATCTCAATTAGGCAGAAGAGTATGTCGATTAACAGCTGCCAATCACGGAATGGACTTGGACGGATTCGGTAATGCGTATGCTCACTGCGATGGGAGAGTTTTTTGAACTGCTTGCCGTTTTTTCAAGATTCTATTTTGAGTCTTTTGGTGGAATTCACTCACTGGGATGTTTGGGTGATCGCTCCAACAATTAGTCCTAAACGGGGGTCTGAGGTGTTCAGTTAAACAAAGAATCTGGTTCCTTCCGTTATTTTTTATGCAAAAGCCGTTTAAAAAGACTTCCAACATGAACTCAAACGTACCTACGCGAAGAGCATGCAGATGGCCGAAGCAAACCAGAGGGAGCCTGAAACTCCTTTCCGTCAGTAGTAGTTCAAATAAAAATTTTTGATGATTCAAAATATGGTGACGATTTATCTTAATGAACCTCCAAACTAATACCACGTTGTTATTTATCCCAATTTAATATTCAAATTACTTAAAAACCGCGTTGATAATCACTATATTTCCATCGAATAACAAGCTATGAAAGTACGTTCATACACGGTAATTGACGGAAGTCAAGATTTTTATCATTAGGAGTTGATTAATGCTTGGCAAAATGGTATTTGCTAATTCACAAGGTCTTATTACGAGTTATTCTAATTCATTTAGAATTTTCTATGCAAAATAAAGCTTCTGAATTAGTCACTGAATTCCTCGACTCAGGTTGTCAGCATGGTGAGCAAAACAGTGTGCCGATGTGAAGTTTACACTTGGATGTAGATAATTACCTTCGTGCTGTGGTTCATAATCAAGTTTTCCATGCTTTTCCGGTCCTACCACCCCAACTCAACGCAGTGCATTATTCAGTAGCTCCGTGGTACACATGGCTGCTTTCCACCGCTAGCAGCGAAGCTTTTTGGTTCTCCTGCAATGGCACTTTTTTGCCGCGAAGTCATGAAATAGTTAAATCCTGTCACATCAAATTATCTCTTTCATCGGAAAAGGTAGCTGTTTCCCTCCGAGAGGAAGCAGTAAAGGGTAGTGGGAGGGTAGGAATGACCCCAACGAAAGAAAACCTATTACCCTTTACACCAACATGCACACCGCCACGAAAGCGCGCCACTGATGCTAATTTCTTTCGCGTGCATATTTGAACACCGCCATGCTGCAATTACTACGTGTGTAGTACACCTAGAAAAGAGGATTTAATTCACTCAATACTTAGGATTTCTAAAGTTCCTGAAACTGAATTCGCTCAATACTAAGTTTTCAATCTTTTTGTGGCATTAAAAATCTGTATTCGCTTTTGCCTAACCATTTGATCTTTTTTGTAGCTTTTTCTACCTTTAACGGATTGAAGGCCTTGTGATTTAGCATTTGGTCAGATTTACCTTAGATCAAATGGGAGTTGATAACAGTATCAATTATCTTCTCCCATTGAATAAAAAATTATCTAATTTTCTTGTTGCTGCAGCTCAGTAGTATCACATTAACTTATTCTCACTCAATCAGACCGAAAGAGGCTTTAATAAAAGTCTATTCCACGCTTAGAATTTAATTGCTCTACAGACCGCGTCGTAGGTTAGGCGAATCGCTTTTCTCAATTTTAGCAAAGATCATCATTCTAAAAACCTAAACAGAAGGCATCAAGCGTTTAATTATGAGATAAGTTATTGATAACCTCTGACGTTGGCTCGATTTCGCTTTAACGATTCGTTTTCTGGTTTCATGTCAGTAGAGCTGCTAAGCAGATGCGCAATACGGTTTCTTTGATCGTAAATAGGCCTTAAATATTTGATAAAAAGGAAAATAGAAGATATAAAATATGTTGCTCTGCTAGTTTGCAGCGTGTAAGGATACTTTTAAAGTTCTGTTAGACCTATTCCTCATTTAAGAACGCAGCTCCTTTAAATAAAGCCTGATATCGACAATGCATAGAAGAAAGTGATGAAACACGGTCTCAAAATCGAATGGCTTCCACTATCGTTTAAATTTTACTTGTGATAGTTTAGGCACTTTAAAACCAAAAATCACAATAGGGGAACAATAGACTTTCTTGTAACGAATATTGCGTATATGGAGCGATTGCTGCATTGACTCGCGATTTTAAATCAAGACTACAGTTTATGTATAATTAGCCACAATCAGCCTCAAGTTTGGTGAAGAGACAGTATGTAGGCGCCGATGTTCAATGCGGCACGCCATTAGTACTTACTGCCACTATTCAACATATTAAATAAACATTCAGGGACAAATTTATTGCTACTTTTTTATGCAGCCATTCCACAATCCAGGCCTTCACAAGCACATCAACTCAATTGATGGTTCTGAATGGACATGTCAAAGGCAGAGGTTTTCCTAATGAAATAGACTCCACCAAGTGAAAGGAGCTGAAGCATGTTTACGTTTTCATATGGGCCTGACTGGAGTGTGCTGCCCTTCGCCACTGGTGATGGAATCCCGATGATAAGTCAACGACGTGATTATTAGTTCTTGCAAGCAATGACAGTCAAAAATAATTCGGGGAACGTAGTTTGACAACTTCTTTGGCATGCATTTCGATCAGGTATAGAGCGACATTATTCCTTGCGCTGCCCCAATTAGACAGATGTTTTACGCAGAGAAGAAAGAAATTAACTGCTTAAACCATATGTAGGAAAAGTGGGACCCGTATATTGGACTATGCCTGCCATACATTGCTGTATTTTTTACACAAACATTCCATTATATTTATGAAAGTTTTTCCACTCTAAAGGCAAATACATGTTGCAGCAATCGCGTAGTCTTTGTAAACACACCAGTTTCGATTCATGACATCTTTACTTATTCAAACTTGCAATGCCTTGCAGTAAACTTTACGGTGATTTTTTAGATGATCCAAACAACAAGATTTACTAGAAATCAGCAGCAAATAATGCTAAACCGTTTAAGAGTGGTTTGTTACCAGCACAGGTGCCCATTGAAGTAGTCTGGTGTTTATATTAACTTATCCAAGTGTGTTTACACGTTTTTAAAAGCTTTCTGTGTGCATTTTACAGGATATTTTAATGCGGTTGTTATTCAGTGAATTTACTTATTCATTATATCTTAAATAATTGAAGTTAACACCTTTTAAAATCGCACGATCATGATATCCGAAGGAGAGTGCATTAGGAACCTTCAGTGGTAATTAATAAGGACTTTATTCAATAGCGAAAATTCTCTACTTCTGGTCCAACTGTGCAACACAAGCCTAGCACTTCACATATCTCAAGCCGACTGATCGTGGTCTCTACAACTGCAGTTGCACCGAGCATTCAAAACATTCTGATGCTGGTTTGCGATTGGTCCGAATCCGTCTCTCCTTTAGTTGGCCATCACTCAGTTCTGCCCCTAAACGCTTTTGCTGATTCATAGTGATGATAATTTGTTAAATTTCTTTGATTTTGTGGTCACTAGAGTCTCCGTGAGGTTGCTCGGACCACCAAGCTTAGATGTCACCGTTGGATCATGTTCCTATCAAGCGCCTAGTTGTTCGCGACAAGGAAGGAGGGACAAAAGACAGATGGAGTCCGCCTTGACCTTCATTGGGGATGCTTATTTCGTGTAGAGAAGTTAATTTTATTAGGCAGTGCAAAAAAATGCAATTGAATTATCCGTTAATGAGGCGAGTGGGGCTGGAGAGGGGGCAGAGATGGAGTTCTGCCTCGAAGGCGTGACAGCAACGAATGCGGCAGTAGTTTGACAAAAGCCTTTAAATTATTCACAATCATACCCCATCCCCACCTTCTTTTCCGTCCCTCTCTTCCTGCCTTCCGCCTCCCCACACACGCTCCTGCGCGCACGTGTCACTGGCCCGCTGGCAGTGGCAGCACCAGCCCTTCGAATCATCATGGCCTGGTTCAGCTACACACACACAGACGCTCTCTACCAGTGTGCGCCTGTGCACGCGCACGTATGCTCGAGTGGAAGCGTTATGCATTATTAACAACCACGAACACGTCGTCCAAGTTGAACGGGAGTATTCGCAGCCATGAATTATGCACTCACAAACGCAGAATAGTGAATACAATAGCTAGCAATGTAGAGGCTCTCTACCTAATTTCGAGTGTGTTTTTGCTTCAACAAGAGACTTTTCAAATTGTCTTTGCTAGCAAACTCTATTGACGCTTTTTATTACAGTTCATAGTAGTCTTTTGCGCGCTCTCCGCATGCATACTTGTGATACCCTCACTGTAGCTTGCGCCCGATTGCTGTTTCGCCTGTTATCCAACTAACAGAGAAAGTCTGTTTGCGATGCTTTTGATGTTATTGACTTCGTATTTTTCTTGACATTAAAGTGTCACAGTAAACAGCATAACATTTGAATCCATAAAGTCTAAAGCATAACATGGTCACTATGCCTAAACGATGTCACATGTACAGCGGAACAAATTCCTAACCAAAATAGCATTTTTTTAAGTATGTCTAGGAATGCAACGGTATTCGTACACTGGGATTTATTTTGAAGTTACGCTGTGCACACATTGTTTTGTGAGTTTCCTTTATGGTCATTTTCTCAAACATCCACTCTTTATAATAGGCAACGAGAAGACCTAGCGTGGGTTCTATACTAAAAGATACTACAAAATACGATACCGTACTGTCTGTACTAACACAGTGGTTGAAATTGAGAATGCAGGAAGGAAATTTTGTGAATTTAGGTTACCAATATTCACCACAAATTTGTCATTTATTTTGAAACTAAATGTGAGTAGCAAATTTTTCCAACCTCTTTATTGACACCCGAACTTAATTTAAGAATGGTGCATAAGTAAAGAAGCGGAAAAGTCATTGCCATAATTTATTTCGAAATCGGGTTAAATCAGAGGGAGCAGATAAACTAAATTCATAGGGCTGTGGGGTCTTGATACTCAATACTCAGGATCTCTGGTGTTCCGCCGTGGAACGGACTTGCGAAGGCACTGGCCCTGTAAATTTCAATGCCTGAGCAGTCGTCGGCGCAGGCACCAATACAACCAAGCATAGACTCATCGTAAATTCTCTTCACTTTCATCCTCCATTCATACTTCAGGTTCGAGGTCATCATTCTCTTTCCTTCAATCACATCCATGAGCTCGTACCGAAAGCATCTGCTGGCATTTCTATCCAATCTTTCGATACCACTTCGGACCACCTCTTGAAATTGTTCTGATGTCATTTCTTTAGGGGACAGAATCGTCCCTTCTGGTAATTCACAGCTAGTAATTAGCTTTCCATTTTTACTGAAATCTGCAGAACCTTCATTGTTGGGCTTAAAAGTGATGTGATGCTTGGGATCCCTCCATGGTTGATACACAATCGCAGCTATTGCTTGCTTATTTCCACTTAAACCATGGTAGCAAGGCTTTGAACATTCCTCGCCATTATCACTGGAATAGATAGGAGTGACCTCTAGCTTTACGACATATTTCATTCCAGCGACAACCTGTTGTGTAGCTTCAATAACTTTGACAAGTCGGAAGGAGTGACATTCGTTCACTTCGTCTAAATTCTTCATTACCTCTGTAAGAGCGTCCTGAAACATCATCTCATTCATGTCCTCCTTGGTTATGGGAGTAATACCGCCGACTATGCCTCTCGAGGAAGGGACAGCAACGCTGCGCTCTTGCTGTCTGCACGCAAGCGAGATGGCGACAAGGAAGGAGAGGAACAGAAGAACAAACCGATTCATAATGGTGCAGTCTAACAACTAAGCGATGACCACATTACTTCACTGCACCAGTTCGTATGTGATAGGTGCCGAGTTAGCCTGTGAGGTATCGTGTTTACATGACTAGGGTCAGCTATTGCATGTGATGGTTCCTAGTTGTAGCTTAAACTTAAACAAGGCTTATTCCCACACTTTTGTTTACATTCAGCCACAAGTCTATTCTACCTCATCACATCTTCGGCATTGGTCGACGTAACAAGGTAGTGAAAGCTCAACGCTTAGTGGTTATGGTGCTGAGCAAATATATATTTTAAATTAATGCCATTCAAATGTTAGGAAATGAGCTTACCATGACATCACAAGGACGCCTAGAAATTAGCCATACGCCGGTTAATAGTACTGAACCGAATTGTTAACTTGTAGGTGCAAACTAATGTATTGTATTTAAACTAACTTGTTAGAAATGGGGCTATTACCGACCGTCAAACTTTGTGAGTACCACCCTGTCAGTTGAGGTTGCTTGCATTCTAATCACATGTTCCAAAAGATGTAAGATCCTCCGTGTAAATCCTTCGACTTCTTGTCCCCACTTAAAACAATATAGTCATGAAGTTTTTCCACCCATAGTGTGGTACCGTATTTCTATGTCTTATTTCAGAAAAAAATGCTGCTTGTTTGAATACATCCTGGTTACGCGGGCTCTTAAGTTGCCTTGATCCTCGCAAAAAATGGACTTAGTAGTATACCACTACTAGCATGCAGTGCACCACTAGTCGAGCAATACACCATTCTCAAATGATGTGCTTTACTATGGCCTTAGGGTTGGCTCAAGATACATCTATAATGCTTATGTCGTTTGAATGGACCTTTTAGAGAGTAAGTGGACAGTCGACTAGGACCTCGCTATTAAGGAGTGGTCAACGTCCACTGAACTAGGGGAGAGCTCACTGTCCCGGCCTTCCTATATTTGTATGTATTTTCCTTGATCCTGGTTAATAAATATGTTCCAATCCAATCGTGGTCTTCGTTCTAAGCGTATGAAGGCCAGGGGGGAGATGAGCGAGGGTCGCGCTAAGCAACACTGTAATGCGATAGTGGTTTATCCCAGGTAATAGTGAGGCGCCACTTTTGTACTTTGAATTAGCCCTCTTGTACTTCGCTGGGTGGACTGGCCTTTCGGGCCATGCCAGCAGCTCAGACACCTTCTCTATGCTGAATATATATATATATATTCTGCCCAAGTATTGTGTCTTCTTTCGTCTTCAGGGAGTCACGAGACGCTACACTATATGCTAATAATCTGTCATTATATTTTAAAAACAACTGGCCGGGGCTTAACAGGATAAATATAATGCTAAAAACTGGGCAGGCATTACGTTTGTGGTTGAATTATATTCTTAACTAACAGTCGCCATTCCCCGACGTTTGCTCCAGCATAAAAGCGAAGACGATGCTACTGTGTGTGGTAAGCTCCGCATTCCTTAAATTTCGATAACAAATGTTGTAGAATTTGTGACAGTTAGCCCGCCCAAAACATGATCTGTGAAAACAAGTAATTATGACAGTTTTCGAAAGGTTAAACATAACTAGTTTGCCACTTGCGCACGCACAACTAAAAATGACCTAAAACTTTTTGCCTAGGGGAAATTAGGGTCAATTATTTCTTTGTGCCCTTAATCTTCGTTGTTTTAAGTATCTAATCGCAATGCGCACGTTGCAAATTATTTTTCTGTTTGATTGCCTAAATTTAAGGGCTTAAGTTCCTGTAAATTTGTTTATAACACCATAAAAGCATCGCACAGTTTGGGATTGAATACCAAAGGCTGTAATGCGTTTGATACATCTTATAACTTCACTTGCTTCCCAAATATTCGTGTTTATTTTGCTCACTGTTAGGCACCATTTTCGCCCTAATGATGAAATAACGTCCCGTTTTAATGCTGATTTGGTTCCTTAATGCCGCTTTTACTTGAGTAGCATCTTGCAAAGGTGTCCTTGTTCATCTCATTGCTTCGTGGTTAATTTATGACGATATTATCGGCGTACTACGGAGTAAAACCCGTTTAATATTTATGATATGTTTCACGAAATACTAGTTATGAAATTCCACTGCGTCTTCTTTCTTTTAGTTGTTTGATTTTGACTTGTCAACGGAGTTTCAAAATGGAAAAAAAGACAAGGTTGCACGTTAAAAACTCGTCTTCATGTGTGGCAGATCTCTGCAGTGAGCTGCTGAGGCGTGAGTTCCTCTTATGCCATTGTCTTGATATCACATAAGTCTGATTACAAGCGCCCATCGATATTTCATTTTAGTATGTGATGTCCGTCCAGATGTCTGGAACAAAATGAATTATTTTCGTAGCCTTTACGAAATCGTAACGAAAATCCGTGATCTTCAGAAGGGTACGGCTTTTTATTTTGTGAAGTTTTGGTTAGGTGCATCAATTTCTCGTTTGGTTTTATCGGGGGATCGTGAATTACGACTTAAAGCTCTCCAGAAACGCTACGAGGAGTGTTTGTACTTTCCTCTATCAATATGCAACTGTGGTGAAGCTGGATTCGGTGTACGCGCAGACAAGTCGATTGAGGTACGATTTTTTGGTCTTTTGAAACTTTGGCATCTTGTAGAAAAATAGTCCGCTCCTTCATATTCCTCTAAGGTATGCGCTTTCAGTTCCAAATGTGAGCTCCCCACTCCGTATGTTGAAATGTCCCGGTAACTTTTAATCAATAGCCAAGTTCCTCAAGGAAGATCCCCTATTTTCTGGAATGGATAACGTTGCACTGGCTATTGCTTTGCTTCATGAACTGTCTTTAAATGAGAAGTCAAGGTGGAAGGAATATATCTGTAAGATTTCCTATCGGAGTAATTTTCCTTTAAGCCTCACTACCAGGTGTCTACTCAACGGTTGCCTACTTCTCTGACGCTGAATTCTCGATCCTCGATGGTTTTCCTGCAGCAGGTACTTTCTACTTATCTAAAATATGGTATTTGTTTGAGTGTTTTTCTTAAATTCTTTAATTCTAGAGACACCATTAATTAGCATCGGACGTTTTCATTACTCGTACTTGAAATAGATTGCCTATATTATCCTTTATGACTTATTTCGTAGTATCTTTATGTCCGATTTCTATCAGTTTGGTTTAAGCTACGGAACTACTGATGTTTCTTGCTAAATGAATTTGACCCAGTGCCTTGTTTTAGCGTTTTTTTAACTTAGTACGACCTTTCGATGTCACGGATTAATAACGTCATTTTGTCTTATGTTAAAAATGTTTAACGGTGGCTAGTTTCAGACTTGAAAGAGAATGCGGCGGGTGCCATAAATTTCCTCGCCGGTAAATTAGTCTTGTTTCAGAAAACTTTTGGTGAAATGTTTCCTCGGAATCAGCTATTCCTCGCTCACAGTCGTGATTGGGGGTACTGCCATTTACTCGACCCATTTTCTTTTCACTTAATCTGCCTACATCTGTCGAGATTGGTACACTGAAATCCATTGCTCCCATCCAGGGGCTGTTTTTTCTGCCCACAAATATCAAGAAATCCAAACGGCTCTCAACTGGATAGGCTATTTCCAGCATATATTTTTCTATTTTTCTCCAAAGTTGGATCAAATTCGGGAATTGCTATCATCTTGTTAATTGAGTATACCCCGTATGAACTTTCTTCTGCAAACCATAGATGCTGCGCTGAAAGCTTATAGGAACATGTGTCGCCAGTACGCATACTTCTATCGCCTTTTTGAACGCGTAAAGCAGAAAGATTCTTTACCGGTTTACATGAAACCGTTTTGTTTCGAAGACTACCAGTACGTTCTTGTGTATTTGTTACCCTGTGATACGGGTATACCAGGTGTCTACTTTCCTTCTTTCCTCTGAAGATGGGCTATTTCAACTGTAATGAGTCGCAACAACGCATTGCCAATAAAGGGTGACAGTGATGGAAAATTGCTTTGTCTAATTCCCTTGTGGGATATGATTAATCATAAACAATATCAAGTACGTTTTTTTGGTTGTGTATATCAATGCAGTCATTCGTATTTTTCGAACCCTTACTCATCGTCTAAGTGGCATTTTTTGCCGTTTTTCAAATTGTCTTAGTGATGGGGTACATATGCTCTTACAATCTTGGTTCATGATTAAATCTTTGTATTTTGATTCACTCTGTATATTCATTGCGCCCTTGTGAGCTCCGTACTTTTTATGCTCTTAATTATTTTAAAACAAACTGGTAGCAACGCCTTTTGTTCCAATTTAGGAATTTTCGGAAAATTATGATCCGTTTATAAATGGTTAAATTTGCGACCATATTCTGTCTGCTCTTACCACCATCAATGATTAGCTAACTTTAATGTTGACATCATACTTAACTTAGTTTTACCTCTAACCACAATATATCCCCCAATATCCCATTTTTTTCAGTGATGTTCCACCTCTAGGTTACAACGGATTATGACCCTGCCTCAGAACACATCGTATTCTATGCCATGGAATCCCATCGCCAAGGAGACGAAGTGAGTTCATTCCATTTTACCAAAGGGGATCACTTCTGCGCTATAAAACACTCACGAACTGTTCTCTAAGGTTTTCATGGATTACGGTAAAAGAACGAGCACTGAGTTCCTTTTGTACAATGGATTTGTTCCAGAATTCAATCTTTTCCACGAAGTTCCAATTAATCTTGGTGCGTGAGTCATTTGTTAGCTTTAATTTAATTTGCTCGTTGCTTTTATTAATAACGCTAAGTACCATAATAATGTTTGGTCGTTACTTGCTCTCTTTGGTTATTGGATACTCTTTTACCTGTCCAGGCTTGAGTAAGTTCGACAAGCTCATGCAACTTCGAACGCAGATTCTCAAGGAACTGGGCCTAGGGAGGTGTGTGCGTTCTAGCCTTTCAGACCTGGACCCCTGTACCTTGGTGTCTAAAGTGTGATTTTTATCGCTTTCAGTGAAATTTGTCTGGCGGCCTCCCCTCAGGTTGGTACCTTCCCACCTTCGCAACTAACGGCATTCGCCCGTGTCTTCGTCATGAACGAGGGTAAGCTCTATCATTCATTTTTCGTACTGGCTCCTTTTCTTGCCTTGAGATGGCGTTTCTATCCTATTGCTGCTTTTATTTTTTTTTCCATCAATGCGTGATTGAGCGCTATGATCTTTACTGCTAAACTCTTCGTAACTTCTATGTTACTAGCTTATCTTTCACTTTTATTACGCATAAATTTAGCAGTTTTGCAGCAAGGTATTTTAGTGCTTGTCAAATTTTGACTGAATTCCATCACATGAATTGTTTATTTACCTCTTTTTCCTCCTTTGCTAGTTGAGCTTCAAGTCACATTAGATGAATTGACCTCCTTAAGGTCTGGTTCAGATGTCACTGATAGGCTATTATCAATGACCCTCTCAAACGGCCGAGTAGACGAAGAGGCCAAAAAGTTCATCGAGAGTCGTATCAAGCTACTCATCCGTAATTATGAATCTCGTCTTGAAAAAAGTCTCCAGCTGGTATGTACTCCTATTTCTTCACATTGGCGTTAAAATGTTGATCAGACTAAAAATTTACTATTACCATAATTCTTAACTCCTGTTGCTCAACACATCAATTCTTATAACAATTCATTTACGATAAGTCTTTCGTTGTGAGTCTAAGGTTTGCGCTTTCCTGAATTTAGGTGCCTACTGCGAGTCCAATTCGTGAGCAGTGCCTTCGACTATGCCGTCATGATATTTTCACACTTTCGCAGTGTCTTACTGCCTTGTCTGAGCAGTCTCGTTAAGCCTCCTTGTTCATCCTTGCTCACGTTGATTTGCCTTCAACTTCCATGGGCTAGTCTTTGTTCCTTTAGACTTCTTGTTTATCTTTTGTCTTTATGCCTTTTCAGAAAATAAATGTTTCGTACACCTTCCCATTCTTGCTACACCTTGCCTTTTAAGTTATGTTATTTGTTAATGTTTATTTTTTGTACTTCTAATGTGACTTCTGTTTATCGCCAAAAGCTTTATTTTTTAAATTATTTAATACTGCTACATTATTATCTCATAATGTTTTAACGCTTTTTATGATTCTGACAACAATTCAATCAGGACTTGGATTTATTGATAATTGTAAGAACCATTTTTTTGTCAATTCTAAATAACTACTTGCTCTATACTTGTCTTTGAAATTTTAAAACCGGGGTGATGGATTTCGTTGCATCATTTCACGTTGTGTTGAAGTGCAGATGAAATTTCCGTCAGTTTTTAAAACCACTCTAATTATTCCTGAACGTTCACTGTTGAGGAATTCATTATTGCTAAATTCTAACTGGTAATGTTAACATTGACTCTGACATTGACTTATGAAATTTGATTCTATACTACTGATATTTCAACCAAGAAGTGATGGCTACACTCAACGGATTAACTCGGCGATCACTTTTCGGGGGAGCGTTCCAGATTTTTTTGCCCTCACCTGCTCAAGACGTTAGGTAAGTCTCGATCACTTGTTTGGGTAAATAGTCCATTTTTGGTCTTATTCTTGTATTTTTCTAGATTAGTTTTATGCGATTATATATCCAGATTTCTTAAATCTTGCTACTTATTCGCAAATTAGTACATCCAACAATCCGAATGTAACTTACTGTTGGGGTGACCGAGTGGAATCAGTCACCCAAATCACGACATTGACTTGAGTCGTCTGTTTTTGTTCAACTTAACTGTATGGTATGATTAACTGATTGTAGTAACGCCGGCTTATTACTTTGTAAGGGGATAACTTCTCCCCGTCTAAGTTGGGCTGTATCATGATTATTGTTTTCGCCATTGCTCGGATCCCATGAATGTTCTTTCATGGCATCCTATGTGAATCACTGAAAAGTTTTACTCCTTCATCCCCAAAATAGGTTTAAATACAATAGAATTAAACTACAAGGTATTTTTTCAGGAGCCTAATGCTAGGTTTTTCCTAGTAAATTGAGTTTGTCGAGCTCTGGTGTGTTTCTGAGTCTTGGAGGATATCAATGTGAGCTTACTCTTTCAAGCATCGACAAAAAGGTGCTCATTTCGCTGGAGTTTTTACTTTTCAAAATATTGCAGCAATTTTGGTTCCTAATGGTTTTGGGTACTTACATGGTCCTAGTGCATTCCGTCAGGTGCCGGATAACCAGGAAGTCTTCGTCAATCCTTCAAACAACCAGAGCATTACCGTTGATATTCTCGAGGCCGTTTCTTCATCTAGTCTTCCCGAGGCTGTAAAGTAAGTGATTATTCCTGAAGTCTTTATGTCGTCCCATTTTATATTTTCGTTTTAGTACTTTCTTTCTGGTAAAATTTTGATTTTGTGTTTGCATAAAAACGGTCTTCCATTTACATATTGCTGAAACAGTCGTGCCTTATCCCGATTATTTTTTTGTGATAAACGCGGAAATGGTGGCACTGTTTTTGGAATTATACTTAAAAATCTGAGGCTGTGAATATGTTGAGGAAGTCCAGCTTCGCTAAACTATCGAGGCACGCTTGTTTTACATGCGCCTTTCTTTTCTGAAGCATCTGCAACAACCTTAATGGAGAATTTTTACACTAGTGACCTTTTTGATTCACTTACACATTCAGAAAATTTGACTGCACAATCAGTCGTTCTTCTATTCTTGCGGACTCCAATATCCGATATGGCTTTTCTTCTAAAGTGATGAATGACCGCTTCCATTAAGACCGGCTTTCGAAGAAAAAGATTTTCAAAGCCGTAGTTCCAGTTGTACTACACAGTGGTCGTGAATCAACTCAAAAAAATCGATTCTAAAGAAGTGGGGTCACTTGTTTCCTTATTCGAAAGTCCATGTTAGATACCTTTAACTTTTACTCTCGAACATATTCTATTGTCAATTTACCCTTCAGCGCACCTCTGCTAGCCTGCAACGTTTTTCGAGGCAACCGTATTTTTCCACTGGTTTATTATTACTTTTTATTATTGTCATCCAAAGGTTTTTAACCCTGCTTGTTCTTATTTTTGAAAGAAAGGTAGAATGCGTAACGGCTTGAGCATGAGGTTTCTCATCTCATTTCCACCTTCATTTAATGGCCATCAGCGTCGGTAAGTTCATAATATGCTACATTGGTCTCCAATTCTAGCTCAGGCTCCCTCTCAATAGTAAGTAAAAGCACATTCCAACCCTTGCCTTCACTCGATGCCAAGATCTCTGTGATTGATAGACCATATATTCTCTGTTCCTGTGTTCCGTCATCGTGGCTCCTCTGTGATGAATTTCCATGACCCTAGGAGCTACTCATAGTTCATTCTTTTGGTACAGACTAATTTAAGTTCGCTATCTTTGCTTTCACTGGCATTCCATTCACTTATTCCAATTATGTCGATTTGTTAATATGTCATCGGCCGATTTTAAATGCGTCATGAGCGCCCGCTCTTTGCATCCACTTGTTCCAGAGTTGGACTCAAATCCAATTTCCCTTACAATGAACAAGCATGAAGACCCTCGGGCTTCAGTTCCCAATTCTTGGCATATTTTATCTCAATCAGGAATTTTGGCTTAAATTAGTGTAGTAATTCCGTCCTAGCATCATAGTTTTGATTTTTCTTAAATCAGGTCATTTTGTTTTCCCCTTTCTGATCGTAGTTAGAAGCTGATTTTTGATTTGTCTCATTTTTAGTAAAGTGAATTTCATCTTCAACATGTGGTCAAATTAACCGTTTTTCAATTTTAGCCTTCATTTCCAGGAAATTGTCAATTGCAATTCTGCTTCCGATTCAGTTGTGGATTCCGTTGAAATTCAGCATATTCCCAAGTAGGTATTTAGGGAATTTAAATATACTCCGTTCGGTCTTCAGAAATCAGGGTTCAACCTATGTTTGTTTTGAAACCGTCTGGAATGAACTGACTTTTTAAGTCGGCCCTCTGTTAACAGGATTAACCTTGGTTCGTAGCCTGGCGCTGAATTTTAAATGTGATTTCCCTTTAGTGGTCCTCCAGCTGTTCTTCTTCGCGGAAAGCAGAAAGTTGCCAAGTTCAACCGACTACAATCAGATCTTGTAGACATAGCAGTCATGCTCTACAGATTCCCCGATTACTCCGCTGATGTGTTAGTTTGTTTCAACGACCCCATTATGTGAGTTGCGTCTTTCCCTTCCATCCTTCACCAACCGTTTTTATTGCAGCCATGGTAAAGTAAATTCTGGTTACTGCTGATTTTTTGTAAGCTTGCAAGCCTGAACACAGGGTAGTATAGTTTGGTAACCCAAATTGTCTGATTTTAAGTGTCTTTTTTGATCACATCATAACGTCTTGCTCAATGTTTAGCAAGTCTTATTCTCCCAACTTAATCTTGAACCATACCATAAATCAGACTTATCCATGCGAGTCGTTTTGGATTATCTAGTCCAAGCGGAAAGAAGGAATGCGCATTTTTAATGGCCATACATGTTGGAAAAGCAGTCCTTTTATAAAGAATTTTTTTGCTTTGTGCCATTTCTAATATACTAATCCAGGGACCGATTTCACCTACCGATATCGATACCTCAATCAAGTAACTTACTGTGTGTGGCGGTAGGGCATGTCAGATGTCATGAATATCGTTCATAATTTACCACATATTGAGTGGCTCTCCCATTTTGCACAACAATGCATTCATAGTAACTCTTTACGCGGTATAAGTATTTTGTGTTGCGGTTGCATGTCATTCTTTACATGTTTTTGGTTCCGTGAGTTCGTCACACGAACACCCTAGCAGAAGCAGGAATAGCAGCAAGGTTTTGCGACCTCTGCATCGGTGTAATTGGTTGTGCTTCTGTTAGATTACCGCATTGCCGCTTATTCTAGTTTACGCGTTAAGTCACTCTGCATACTTCATTCTGATTGGACACTTGATTTGAAAGTCTAGCGCAGCCCCTACAGCCTCCACATTTCACTTCATTATTCACCTCTTTTCTCAAAATTAACCCTTTTCTCACCAGAAAAGTGCCTTGAAGTTTTAAATTATTTGAGCTACCTGCAAAGGCATCATTGCTAATGCAGTGGCACAGGAATCTTGAGAGATGTACGGGCTTCCGCCAACAGTGTTAATTGATTGGCATCGAAAACTTCCATCGCTGTATTTATGTGGAGTGACCACCACCCCGAGTAGAATAAGTGCATTCGCTGAACCACATTTCTTTGAATTTTCATCCAGTAAGGTATTTCCTTGCGACACCGTCCATTTCATCACCTACCGCCACTGGAAATAACCTCCACATCGCTAAAACGACGTGGATGGAAGTGAAATCACTGTCACATGTGACTATTCCGGAATCTGAAGGAAATCATTCACAAATTCACGGTGACTAAAAACTATCGGAATCTGCTCAGTGAGAATTCACTATTGAAAATAATTTTACTCCGGCTTAATTCCCCTTCACCAACTCACGCTTCTGGTATCCTGTGTTACGATATTTAAACTGTGCGTTTATGCCTCCAGAGTTCTCTTCGATTTCTACAGTACCTTACTATTGAAATCAATCCCAGAAACATTACATTCAGACTTTTTGCCGCCATCAGTCTCTACTGCGGTGCATATCGCTCTGGAAAACTTTTGCCTTATGTAATTAGTTGTTTGTGATAAAGTTGATTATCTTCTTCGATTTCGCTGTGTTGTGAATCATAAAGCCCCACCCAGTTGGCCAAGTCGTCAACAAGTGTTGCATCATATGATTTATTGAGAACTGCATTGGGCCTGTCTTGTGCACCTGCCGTTCATACGAACCGCTAGCATTACTTTCCAATCATTCAGTATCTAGGGTTCTTGTGACACCATTGAAACCTTGCTCTCTAAGCCTCATATTCTTTTGATATAATGATGTTTTCCTGTTTGTAGGTCCTATTCACGCATCACGATTACGCTTTTGAGTCTAATCTTGCTATGAAAGAAAATTCACTCTAGGTTCCAGGGGTTTTTGCAATCATTGTCTTATTTTCAATGAATAGGGAAAAGAAATTTCGATGGGAGTACACTACAAATTATTTTCACACCCAATGTGGTCAAGCGCGATATCCCTCTACTAAGTGAATCAGTTGATAATTCAATTTAGTTGGATATGAAAGTGAAATTTCGGGTGTTGGTCATCGTCCTGAATCGAACAAGGGTCGTGCACTAGCACATCATACCTCTCGTATTGGTTTTTGCGTGCAAGTGGTTGGTGTGTTCAAAGGTCGCCAGTGGATTTTATTTTACGCAGTTTTGTTTAAAAATCATGAAACGGGGATGATGCTTATCCACGATCTCCAAAAAATGCTTATTTGGTTTGGCGACTTCACAAGGTGATTCCACGTCTGCGTAAATGTTCGCGGTCTCTTTTTAGTTTCTGGAATGTCACTGAGTTTCGTAGACCACTGACAATATTTGAAACTTTTGCTGTTCAGTAAAACAGTTCTAGCGTTTTCTCTTTTGCTTTTTAATTGATAAAACAACACCAGTAATCCAAGGAATCAGTTTCACGTTTATGCACTTAAACAACTAGATTGCATCCTGTTCTGCTATAAGCCCTTTCGGTCTATTTGACACTGCCTCACCTACAGGCAATAAGTTTGCTGCCACTGCTTTCGCTTCCCGTAATGTTTTTTTCCGCAACCATTTTATTCAGCTGCAAATAGGTGCTTCTGTGTCTTACTCGCTCTTGCACCGAATCATGTGATGCTATTATTCCTCTCATGTCGCTTATCCACCCGGCTATTGGCTTTCACAGGTCTGTGTGTGCCTGCAGTTCAGACGCGCGCCTCGTTGCAATGTTGAGGACATACGCGCTGACTAAACCCCTCAGCCGCCCTCCTTGCTGCGGCAATAATCACCTCACTCTCCCCCACCTCCTGGTGACCGTTTCACACCGGTACATTTGTCACTGGCGTTAGTGTTTGCGACGGACAGCACCTAATGTTCATTCGGTACTCTCTTTCAACGGTGGGTGTGCTGTTAAATGCTTTACTGGATTCCGATGTGCCTACTATGGGGGAAGGGTTGGTGACACTTTGTCCGTGTTGTTGTTGCCCTGTGTGTCGTCCTAGTAGTCCTATAAATTTCACATTTTTAAGTCCCTCAATTTTCTTATAAGAGCTTATTCACTGCATGAAATGGGGTCAGTATTGTAGCGTTCCGAGACTTCACTGAAGACGAAAGAAAACACAATACTCGGGGAGAATATATATTCAGTACGGAGGTGTTTGGGCTACTGGCATGGCCCGAAGGCCAGCCCACCCAGCGAGGTACAAGAAGGCAAATTCAAAAGCCCAAAAGTGGCGCCTCATTAATACTGAGGGATAAACCATCGTACTACGGTATGAACTGAAGTGTTCATCTATCTTAGGGTTGTCGAATCACTGTCGGAACAAGTCGCCTATGCTTGATGTTGCCTTTTCTTACTCCCTTGTAGGTGTCAGGATCAGAGTGAGGTATCTCCATCCGGTCGGTGGTCAGATGAAGATGTGAATCTCTGCCTGCACTCCCTCAAGCTCCTCGACCCAGCTATCTTCGCTTCTGAGGCTTAGTCTTCGGGTGCTCACTCTGCGTCTCCGACAGCGGTCTGATTTGTCTGTCAAATCGCTTTTTTGCATCTGCTATTTCCCCATAAATCGATATAAATGAACCCCTGGATCTATTTACTACTGCTTTTTTTTGGGTCCTTTGATGGGATGATTTGCGACCAAAATGCACAATTTTTTGGGATTCCTCATAAATTTTACGCTGTACTCCAATCTTTAGCATTGATAACGCATCTTTTGGTTTCTAGTCTTCTTTAATTCGGTTAGGGTTCTCAGTAGCACAATTGATGACTTGCAGATGAGAATTTAGATATTTAGAAGACCGTCTCACCTTCTAATAAATAGTTTTTTTCACTTTAAAACCCATTTCTACCATAGCGCGAAATTGTCATGAATGGGATAGTCATTTTTGCAAGAGCAAATTGCCTGTCACGGGTAACGATCGACTCACCGTGATTTTCAAGGCGCATAGTTAGGATCTGGCAGATTGTAAACGTTACTTTTATTTTAGTTCTCTGTCCCGCGTGTAATACGTGAATTCCAATACTTTGGTAAACCTGGTGGGCGTTTTTTCTACGCACAATAACAATTCATATTACTTATGGTAAAGACACTAATTGTTCCATTATCAAAATAGGCGACTTTCACCCTGATACAAATGAGTCCATACCGGTACCTTCCAGGGCGATTTACCCCTTACGCTGATGAGTGTATTTGAGATTCTCCTGGGCATCGAAGCATTACTCGTGGCTTCTTGCATTCTCTGAAGGCTTAAACGATGCCAAATTAGTACTGATTCAATATAATGCGTTTTTTGAGTCCGAGCTGTTGTGCAGCTAGGCAGGTTATGGAGGACCGGGAATATTAAAAGCACCTTAGGCGTAATCAGCTCCACTCCACTTAAACACCTGTGTAGGGCGATTCACGAGATTGGTGACACCTGCGACTGTTAAATTCCCTCTCCTCTCTTGAAATCACTGGCCTTATGTCCATCGAAAATGTTGCGTTGAATCCCCTTTAACGCTCTTGATGCCATAATCGTCATCAGCGCAAGTTTGTACATTTCGAGGTCATAATGCACCTCTTTAGATGACTAGGAGGCCACCTTCTGGTCACAACTTGAGAATTGGTATACTCTGTGCCTTTTCTACCATAAAAGTTGCACACAATTTAGTGGAATGGCGGTACTTCGATGGTAAAGTGCCTCTTCGTTATGCCAGCCGCACTGCAGGGCTAAGATGGAACTGCAGTGTAACTGACCAAACTTCCTTTAGGCACGATGATATCGCCTAATAGCATTTGAAAAGTTTTTAAATGTGTAGTTAAGGTTCTCTATTAGGTGGCTTAATTGTTCTATAGAGAGGCCCCGAAATTGGTCACCATGTCCAGATCTGCTAGCCGTTATCTACCTGTAGTCACTCCCTCACCTGCGGCAACAGCCCTTCCCCCCCCCCCCCTCCCACCCTATTC